GAGCTTCGCGATAGCACCAATCTCGTAGTCCAGCTGCGCGAAGTCTTCATCACGTGATGGTAATGGTCACTTTTCTGCGGTGTCGGATAGACCACCGCCAGAGCCGATATTCTCTCCTCGTAGCGGAGCTGGATCACGCCGACTACTCCGCTAGTACTCGCAAAGATCTAGCCTGCTCTTCGGTGACTTCTCCCGCAGCTGCCTCTTCACCCGGGATACAACCAAATCCCAAAGCTCCTCAATAGATCTTGCCCCGGAACGGCGTCTATCCTCTCCCGTCTCGAGGAAGCAACCACGACAAAAATCGTCCCATGTCCCTGCAAAGGCAATCGGGTTGAGCGTGACAAGCACCCCGCGTTCTTCATCACCTAAGCTCAAAGCTACATGTAATATATCTTCTTCTCCTTTTCAAGATCCGACCGATAACAGCGCATGCGGAAAAAGCAAAATAGTTCGGGCGACCTGGCTCAATCGCGGTCTTTCAGTCGACGTTACACGTCCAAGAGTCCCTCGGTCCCGGCTGAGTAAGTCGTACCTGCCGCAGGGCCAGTCGTCACTCTAAGCTAATCCTTGCGCCAAGCCGTATTCGGGTCTTTAGAGTCAGTTCTGGATAAAAAAGCTGCCGCTACGGTTGCTAATAACGACCCGGTCAAGCTTGCTTCCTAGGGTGCCGTAATCCTAAAGTACATGCACGTTTTCCTTCTTTGCATGCAACGCCTTGAAATGTAATGGAGGCAAAGAACAGATACTGGGGGCTCTAGTGGTCAGTATCACCCCTCGCATAATTGTGGACTCAGTTTAGCTGCCAATTGCTCCAAGAAACAGGCAAGACAGACGATCGGCCTACCCTACACCCACATTGAAACCCGACGAATAATTATAGGTTAAGGGTTTTGATGGGTGTGAAGCAGGGAGATGTGGCCTGTAGAGCTATTGCATGGAGACTTTTCACATGGACTATATCCAAGACTACCTCAAGTGCCTCGCTGCTTTTACAGTATATGAGGTGGAATATGATGGTATGTTGATGGGTTTTGACTTTTTGGAACCCTCTGAAACGACGGCGACTGATTATCCGTGGGGATTTAAACTTGGTGGTTACGACAGATGCTTGGGGATATCGAGTGTAAGGCTTCAGGGTTATCCGCGTTGCGAGCGAAAGCTTCGAGGAAGCTCCATTCGTGGCCCTCCGAATGATTCCTGCATCTAAAACGTGATAAAACTTAGAGTGCAGAACAGTTGGCCAGCACAGCGTTTCACCATTAGAAGGGGATCGAGTCGATACCGAAGAGAAAGTGGACCGGTTTAGAAGCGATCAATCAATTGCCAGAATTTCTAGTCCCTAAAGGTCGAATTTCACCGGTCAAGATATATGCAGTGACCCGGTCACGGTCCTCCATCAGAATATCTGGGAAGATGATGCAAGAAGGCGTGATACAACGACTCCGGGAGGACCGAATCCGAGAAGAACAAGAAGAAGACTGGGTGCGATATTTGAAAGCATACTTGAAGGGATCTGGGTCGACCTGTCTGTAAAATTTGCTTGAGCGTTCAGTAATATGTCCAGGGTTTACGAAATAGGGGATGAGAGACTACTAGTTTACGTCCCCGTCCAGAGGATCGAGGGAGATGAACGAGACGTGACAGGCTGGTGGTACCCGTAAGTCTCCAAACTGGCATTCTTCATCACTATCACACCAGTCTGGAAGGTAGTCACCAAGGTGTCGGACGTACCTAACATCAAATTCGGCGGTACTGCCATTGGAGAGGACTAATCCAAAGTGTACAGAGATATGTGAGCCTTTTTGTACCTGGAATAGAAGGACCGACCCTACAATGGAAGACTCCGGAGAATGTCAAAGCGACGTACCCTTTCCAGGATCATAGCAATAGGTCATATCCCTTCTATGCCTAAGTCGCAATGGAATACGGAACTACTGATTTGGGTTGATCTGCTCACCGGATATGTGATGGCGAAAGCTAGTACTTTACGAGAGCCTATACGTTAACCGAGGGTTACGAAGAATGCGTTATTATGACGTTTTGATGCTAGTGAGTCAATCCGCTACGATCGAGAACCAGGACATATGTTGAATTTCTTTCGGGCGTTTAGTCGTATGGTGCGCCAGCAACAGCAAGCAACCATGGTCTACCAACCTCAGGCGAACGGAATGGCGGAGAGAATGGTTCATACCCTAACTAGGCCCATTAAGATGCATGTTTCTGATTTTGAACAGCGGAGCTGGGATTAGCGTACGGAACGTTTGACGTTTGCGATGGACACTACGCAAGACCGAGTGCCAAAGGGTACTGCAATTCGGAACAGGTGGGCAGACTTTACAAGCTCTTCATAAGCATATACTAAGCATAAACGGAGTCGTGCCACGTAGATCGAAAATTGAGTAGTAGTATATATAGTACTATCTTTCAACTCCTTCACTCTATCCTTGCCTTGTACCTTGAATCCTGACGTTGATTCGCCAGGTGCAGCTTGGTTCTGAGAGACGAGGTTTGCCCGAAATCTACCGATAAGGATCATAATTGACCCTGAGGGATCATAATTGTCCCTGAGGTACGTTCCACGGATGAGTTATCGGGCCTTCCGACGAGGGACCGCGCTCACCTCCTCAGAACGTTGCTTAATCCGTACTTGGCCGTGGTTTCACTTTGCTAGGTATACAAATTCTTTTTATCAAACGGTCACGTCACCTATGTGGTCCCCTTTCTTTCCGGTCCTCTCCCCCTGGTGCGCGGTCCCTTGTTGCTTGAATCCACTGGTCCTCAGGTCCCCCGCATTTCAAAAGCACTTCACCACACTACCCTTCTTCTTCACGACTCCATTCTTGATATTGTGGGCTTCAGCGTGCGTTTGTAAACGTGAAAGATGAATGGACTACATCGTATTCTTGGATCAAGGCTGCTAGATAGCCTACTGCTTGCATCTACTATGACCGATCGAGGTCAAAATGTTCATGGATCGGGGTCGTAGGAGTTGGACATCTGTGGCATCTCAGATGTCAAGCTTGCTCCGTAAAAACTTAAACGGACAGTGTTGATTGCCTTCATAGTGACGTCTCTAGCATGCTTATGTTAAACAGTACTCCAACATTACTTTACTACCATCTACCTTCTCGCGTAAGAAGTGATAGCGATTGCAATACGCTTTTTGTACGCTTGTGACACGCGTGGGTTGTTGGCCTTCTTTTTGCCTTGATCGTCATCGAGAATCGTTTCGTTCCATCACACAATAAAGCGCAGGTATTGGGCTTCTTTTAAGTATGGTGCTACTCTTGTCTTCAGCTGATACGTCCGCGTTCTGATCTTAAACGCGGTAGTAGCGGACGTATCAGCATGGAAATCACAGTCATTAGTGCTGCTCTTACTCAACGTCCCCAAACCAATGTTCATCCGAGTAGACACAGACTTTCAAGCTACCTTGTCTTGAAAACTCGAGTTTGTCAGTTGATGTACCGCAGTACATGCCTGAGGCGTACCTGTTATTCCTCTAATAACCTACCGCTTTGTGTCATTCTTAATATCTACATACATGCCTTCTGTTTCTTGACCTTCTTCCGTCTCCAAATCGATGTCGACGTCTTCTTGTCTTTTTCATTCTCATCTTTAATCTCAATAATACCGTTCTCGACGTGTTAATCGCGTCCTTCAGTGGCAAACATATCTTACAACGTGCATCGCAACTCAGCGATGCGATGAAATGAAAGTTTCTCGAACAATTCGACTTTTGGTGTTCAGTATAGCGCAAGAAACAGCATAACGACCAATTTATGTTCTAATTCGAACGCTTTTCGTACTTTCAACATATGCGTAAAAATCAGAACACATTAATGTTCACTGGTAGGAGATTTTGTTTGTCTACAGTTCGAGCGGTGACTTACCTTGATAATAGCGCATTCCAGTATCGGGGTCACGAAGAAAATTGTTGTGCTAACAGCTTTGCACGAATTGTACACCAAATCTGACGCTTTCCCATTCTACTCCTTTTCTGTACAACGGTTTTTTTAGGCTCCTGCGAGAATATCATATGCTTTGTATGTTTACGGACACCGAATAATCACGTGATCTGCAGTGTAGGTTTGATTAATAATTCAATCCGACAATTGGAAGAACAAATAATGACCTTCCTATCGGTTGCCTCCAACGTAAGCGTCATGCATCCGCCATCATGCATGCAGCGTGAAGTAAAGCAAACTCCGTGGCTGGACAAGGCTGCGTTACTATGTGCATGTAGAATTAGAGTTGGCTTGTTAAGACAACTATGCACTGTGACATTCTGAGTAGGTGAACGTTACATTACCGTTACAAATTGGCTGGCTTTGAATTCGGTCCAGATGAGGGGGGCAAGCTGAGAATCTTCTTGCCGACAGTGGGCTTCCCTACAAAGTCTATCTAGACTAATTCGAGTCAAGCAAATGAGTCCGCCATATTAAATGAAGCATAAATTTCTGTTTTACGTAGTTTAAATTTCAGATATTGACGCTGTAACTTGACACATCAATGGCGTTAAGCGCTGGGCGTAAGAGTTAGCGTCCAAGGGCATGATTAGGCACAAGCTTTGGTCTAGTCTGTTTGGGATTGAAATGTCACAACACAAATCCAGACGGCGTAGCGCTGCTGGTTCTTAGACGTTAAGCTTTCCAAGTTGGAGAATTGTTGTTCAGATTTACAGATATGTTCCATCGTTTGACCCTAATGTCAAAATGCTCTGCTTGCGAAAAAAACAGAAATGACAAGAAAGTAGGACTCCACTTTCATGCCAGTCGCTTTATGACTTACACATTTGGTCGCATATGTACATGCCCTTTATAAGCTACGTCGTATGCGGGTATTCTGTTACTGCAACGTTTACGAACCTGGAATCCTAAGATGTGCTCCTACTGTCTCGTAATCAAGAATTCCTCCAACTCTCGCTCAACGCCACGTGATACTTCAAAACGGAATCGCCTCACTAGCCAACAAGTCAATTGTTTTTTCAACATTCCATGAACCACTGTTCCCCCACGTCCAACGACGGCCTCATATTGTCCATTGCTTCTGTAAGTCATCACAGTACCGATGTCATAGGCGTTACAACACCGTTTAGACCGACTCCTAGTTTGTACCACTCGTCGAGACAAACGGCGAGTCCTCTTGCGTCGCACCAAGATGAGTTTAGATCAAAAAGGGGAGGCGTCCACTGCTCTTCTCTCTCTAACTGGTCTGAAAGCTAGTAGACCAACGCAGTTACAAATCAATGGGAAGACACATCGGACGATGAGATCGGTAGAAAACGACATTGACAAGTTTACGGAAAGACACAAACGTAAACGTGCTGAGATTAGTCAGTCTCGTCGTCGCGAGCAGTGCCGGGCTAATCAAGCTCGATACAGAGACAAGCAGAGGAATGCACAGATGACGCTGGAAAAGAGTGTTGAGCAATTGCACCAAGAGTTGGACGTTTTGAAATGTAAATATCGAGACCTGTCGTCTCACGGGAGGAGTAACCAGAGTCCATGGTCAATCGCCGCAGAGTTTTTCCAACTAGTCGAGACCAGCTTCCGCTCGCCATGGATCATGTCCAGCACTCACGAGATGGAAAAATACACGGAGACTCGGCAGCTTGTGACTATTCTGGAGCGAGCTTTTGCAAAAGACGTGGCTCTGGGCGAGCTACGAAGAGCTGACGCTTTGATGGAGCAGTTACGGTTGTATTCGCATTACTTTGGAGAACCTGACCTGCAGCTCCAACGAATCGAGTCGATGGCTCCTCACGTTACTGCTGCTCACGGGATACTCAGCGTGACGGTGACGGAGATCACATTGCAGCACGTGTTTTCTCATGTAAAGAAGCCAGCAAGTGGAGACCAAACAGAAGTTAGTCCCAGACAGTTGTACCAGCGCCTGTTGGGTCAGCGTCTCGAGTGCAGCTGTTTGGTGATATTTCTATTCAACAAAGCAAGCGATCACGTAGTGCGTTTGGTGGCTACCATCGACTTGATTCCGGCTTTGCTTCGTGTATTAGGGAATCTACGGGATGTGTCAAAAGTTTTTGAGCATGCTCAGGTTTCATTGGAGAGCGTGATTGGCAGGTTTGATCCTGTTCGCGATAGTCACAGCAATGGCAAGTTTACGTCGTGAAGAAATCTCCTTGTCTCAAAGTATTAATAACTCGATGCTAGAGGCATCTTCACTTACCTTTGCCAAATCCGTTGCATGCATCTCATGTGGATCTGTCGTTTGTCTTTTATTACGAAAAACAAACAAGTACTACTGGTATAGATAGAGACTTAGAAATTCCGACGGCACTCATGACATAATCTCAGTGTTCAAACTTGCAACGACATTGGGGTTGCATCAGCCACAACAACAAAATTGGCACTACTCTCCAGTATCATTCTGTGTCTCATCATCTCGGCGGTTGTGAATTCGTGACGTTGGTCCATCAAAACCTTGGGTCGGTGGAGATCAAGAGTAATTGGTACATTTACGCATTCATAGCGAACTGACCAAAGACAATATGTCCACGATCGGTAATGATGGCAACGTAACTCGTTCGAATACCTCGAAGATCCTGCATCAATCTGACCATGACTCAAGCTCTTTCGTGCAGCATCTAGTCTACATGTCATCTATATAAACTGAAAAACGTTGGATACCAATCATTGCTTGAGCATCATGCACAAGCTTGTCGTTTTCATCTACTTGCTACTTTGTTGTATCCCAGTAACAAGCTCCCATTGCAAGGTTTGTGCTGCTTCGATTCGGCTGCTGTCGGATAGTAGTTGTGGGTGGTAACGTGATTTGATCTTGCACAATTACATGCTCAGTAAGCTTTAATAGTTCGGTTCTAACGTCAGCTGTTCTGCTCTTGCTACTGGGTGCCACCATCAAGCTCAGAATGAGTCGCCATAGTTCACTGCTTCTACGACCTCGTTGTTGACAGTTTGACCACTCACACCGGGAACGGGATTTTGTCGAAGAAAGACCGGGCTTTCGGACGAGGTTGAGAAAAAGATCAATCGTGCCACGAATCGATCCGACAGCACACGCTTGACGTACATGGCTTACACCCTCCAATGAAGCTGGTACCTGGTTGTTCAGCGCACGGCTTCTCATTTCTTGTGCTGGACTTCGTTTACACAAAGCATCACGCAACGGACAAAGACGGCGTCGTGGTAAAAGCGCTGAAACAAGAGTGTAGTTTCGGCATTGTCCCACATTAGCGGTGTCAATTTGAGCTGCGCGGTGCCCGCAAAAGGGCGCGGCGTTTGCCCACATATTCCATCCAGCACATGGAAAATAGAACGAAGTTGGCCACAGTTAGAGATACGGCGGCTTGTGTGTAACAACTTGTGTCGCTGCAATGCAGATGCTTAAGGATACGGCTTGTTATCAAGTTTGAGAATAGTTGGTGTAAGCAAGCAATCTCGACATCTTTGAGGCAGTCCTGACAGCTCGTGTGCACCTTTCTCGCTGACTTAAACACTTACAACACGCAAGTCCCCATGTCTTCTCAAGATAGCAAGTCTCTCTATAGTGCAGAGATGGATGATCCGCAAGACATCAAAGGGAAAGCTAATGGCTTTGAATCTACTAAAGTTGCTCCAGCTAGACTCTAGATCGTGCTCGCCGAATCGAGAGATATTTGAAACGCATTCAGAGTCGAAGTACGAAAGGCGTATAGTATCTATCTACCATGCGTACCAAGCAGGCATAAATACAACGGGTAGGCTGACATGGCACGCTATAAAGTGGCGACTTGTTGTTACCTCGAAGCCTACTAAGTATTACTGACAAACCAACTCATCTTCTACTGCTGTTACGTGAAGCTTATCTTGAACCTAAGCATGACATAATCGGTATACGGTCCAGCTTAACAAGCAGAACAGTGATGAAAACATGTACATCGAATTATGGTAGATGCCACTTTCAGCAAGATAACACATACAGTCACACTTGACATTTTTGGATTCTGCAGGAAGTTTGTCATGATACATTCGACTCTTTGAGTAGTCATCTATCACAACAACAATACTTTACTATGCAAGGAAACACGAATACAAAGAATACAGCACTCACAGTGTCTCAATTTTCATTGTTGTTATTCGGTATTGCATACCAAGTCAGTACTGAAACATCTAATTCTGTAATAGACCGATTCAACTCATTCTAGTTGATTCAGCTCACTTTGGAGGAGGTAGATCAGGAAATACAAAAACCCACCGGAGCCTTCTCGCAACCAGGATCCGCAGCCGTACACACCGTACAGACTTGTGCGAGAAGTTCACGCTTGCATCCGAATTGCGCTTGCGCATATCTCTTACTGTTTTGGAAACGCTTGGGATTAGACGCAGTGAGGCCTTGAACGCTCGGAAGCGGGATCATGTTGGGCTTGGTACCTCTGCGGATCATATCGTTGTACATGGCAATCATTGAGCAGAGCCGTGAGCGTTGGCAGCCGGATCACTAGGATTCTTCCAAAAATCGATGGATTGCTCCACCTAAAATCCGTTTGGAGTGTTAATAGCCTTGAACTCCACCCCGCCGTTACTGCAGAACTCATAGTAATTGCGATAGCCCATACTGGTAATTCCAACCAAGTCGTCGATGTTGATGAAGCCCAGGATCTTGTAGCTGAACGTGCAAGCATCTCCATCAGGTTGCACTCCTAAGGGACAAAGTCCAGGAGGATACTGATTTCTGCATTCATCCATCTTTTCCGTACGGTACTTTTGGGCGCACGAGTTCGGAAAAGAAAACCACAAACAGTCAGGGTAGGGTGCACGTCGATCACCTGTCCGATAGCTAGCACCAACACTTCGACCAACGTTCGAAGTTCCGTCTAGGCCGTAGTAGACCTTGCAGGCTAGAGGTATGTCGGACCCTTCGTTCGTGCACTTGCCACCGTCCATGGCCACAAACTCGGAATACGTGGGAGAGATGTGGTTCGCATAGTACGCGAGGCTGGAGTGGGCTGCACGATCGTCATTTCGTAGATCACCACGTACTGCATCTTGTTCTTACGCTCGCACTTGACCGACTGCTCATTCACGTTAATGCCCTCAGCCTGTACGTACATGAGAGCTCCTTCTACAGACGCCGTGTTGACCGTGTCTAGAGAATTTCTATAAGCGAGTTCTGGTGTATTACCGTTCATAGATAGCCATCGTCCAACGCTTGGGTTATACACGGGAGCGTCGCCCTGAACACGGGCCTGGAACTCACTTCTCGTGTCATTCTAAAGGGTTCAGACGCATTAGCAGGGATGGTGAGGCCTAGCAGGGCGCAGAGCAGACCAAATTGACGCCACATAATGGCTTAAATTATCAATTGAGAGGAAAGTATGCCAAGTGACTGTGACAAGGACGAAACAGAAATGAGGAGGACGTGTGTATTTTTATCCTTACCATACGGCTGTCCAGCATCACATTTGACAAACGGACACGGCTGATCCGCACACAATTATACGGCATAGCTCATCTTTCCATGTCGTGTTGGCTGTCGATTGAGCAATGAATAGTATCCAGTCAAAAGATGTGCCGTTAGATCGCTGCCGGCAAAGTCACACTGTATACTCTAGAAACGGCGCACTTGATTAACAATTACATCCATCTAGTCGGCGCTCTTTCAAACGAACGACACAACACTCTCTTTGTCCATCACAATCTTCATCTTGCAGCTGCAGTCAAATCGCTGATCTAGCAGTTTCTCGAGCGACAACTGATCTACGTCGTCCTCAAAGTCCAACTCCATTGACTTTCGACGAAACCTGCGTTTGAGCAAGCAGAAAAAGTCAGCCACGATGACCTGGGGTTACAAATCGTTTTGAACACAGACGTTGATGATGCTTTAGCTTCAGTGCCCTGCACCTCTTCTTCCTAGCAGCTGCGCACCTAGTGAAAGATTTCGTGGATAGAGCACGCGGTCTGAAGCGATAGCACGCATGATTGGCGCGGCATTGCTGACAAAACTGAGCTCTCTATCTATTTGCGATCATATTATAAAGACGCCTGTGGACTGCGTTCAAGTTGTCGTTTGCATGGGTTTCGCTCAATGCTGACATGTGTAATGAGCTGAGGACACTGTCTAAAATTTCAGTTGTGTAACTAACTACAGCTGTACATAGTGCTGCTATCTCTAGTGACGTTATAGTATGAGATTGTCACTCTTATGGACTTGTTACTGTGTAACTGATTACGTGTTCGCTGAGTTTTGCGTAAATGCACTCAAAATGTTAGTAGTTAATAAGATGTCGATTACAATTGGTCCCTGTCTGAAATGTCATTATGAGGAGCATACGCTTCGTGATTGCACATTAGCATCTTAATGCTGACCAATGATTACGTGACAGAGCCCCTTTTTACCAATCAAACTTTTGTATCTCAGGGTACATTCTAGAGATTACGCAAGGTCGACGCCTTTTTCTGAATAATGTGATAAAAAAGGGATCGTATCTGACTATGAACTGGCGTCTAAGGGGGACTGCCTTCGTAATCAATCATCAGTCGGTTTGTTACAATTGTTGAACCGACTTAATTGTGGCGTCATCTTGACGTCAGCAACCAAATAAGGCCTTGTCAAACATCGAAACAATTGCTAACCGTGCATCTCTATTGTTATTATTATGGCTCAAGATTTGCCTTTCACAACTGACCTCGAGATCCCTATTATACCCATTCGACGAAATCGTCCACTTATTGGTCACGGAGCTTCTTGTAAGACTGATTCCCAACGTACACTTCAAAGTCCATTACTAGCGACCTCTAGTAGTGATGTCCCTAATCGATCATTAACTACCAGTTTTGCTTCACAGACAACTACACACAGTAAACTACCATCGTACTTGGAATCTCGACGTCGTCATTATGCAAATATCTGTGAACTACGTGGAAAAATCTCGCGTGTGCCACGATTTTGGCTCTGGACACGGTTCCTGAACAATTCGTTCTTTGCGAAACGACTTGTGATTGCAGGACTTGTACTCAGTGTGTCACTTGCATGGGGAGTAACAGTATACAACATTCAGATTCGCTACTGGCTTGAGAAGTCTAAGGAGCGGAACCCAGACGACTATGGTCATTGTAAGATGGTAGTCGTTTTTTCTGGTCTCATTTACCACATGCTACCTATTGCAGTTCTGCTATTCTTGCCTGGATCAGGAATGCGCAGCTTTGATCCATTTGAACGAGAACAGCCTGAGTCTACCAAGGTTGCAAGTCGAATTGACGGTGAATTAAACCTGGACAAGGGGGAATGGAGTTCCTCGAGTGTGCGCAAAATCAGACGCCGCCTTGTCTTTCAACTTTGTGAACTGCTGGCCGTTGGAGCTTTATTGTATGATGGAGTATTAGTGTTTTTATTCCTTCGTGTGCTATTTACTGGCGCGATGTATGCATGTGACAATTATCTATTGCATTTGTTTACGTTCGGAGGTGGTGTCTGCTATGTCGGATTGTTTGTAGTACTTTACTACTTTGCTCGCTACCGTGAGCATATTAAGATGCAGCTCGGTGCATTTACAGAGGAAGATCAAACCGGAGACTTGCGAAAGCAATATATGCCGTCAGTACAAGATGCAACGACGACAATGCCCGAGAAAATGCTCGCTGTTGTGCGAACCCGTTTGTACTACGCTACACGTCGAGGTGACCTGCAAGAAATGCGGGATATTCTTGACTTTGCTCAAGCCCAAGCACTTACAAGCAGTGAGTGTGGATTTCCACATAAAGCGTACGCTGCGCCAAAGATCAGGTTAAAGTTTTTTGCAAGGACTCGTAGAAATCCTGTGCACGTGGCAGCATATCACGGCAATATTCGCGCTCTTGAGCTGCTTGAAGAGTACGGCTTCAGCATGACTTCATTGGACAAGTACAACACTATACACATTTCGACTGGCAGCCTCTTTTGGTACTTTGCTCGAATCCTTGTCAAACGACCGAGCAATAGTCTTGAAAGCACGGCAGTATCAATTTTCCAGACAACTTTGATCACACCACTGCACTGTGCTGTATCCACAGGTCAGGTTGAGACTGTGAGATGGCTGTTAAACCGAGGTGTAGATCCAGGAACACTCGCCCAAGCTTCGTTTCGATCCAACCGCGTACCTCCACTGTTCCTTGCCGAACATGCTGAAATTGCTCGAGAACTGCTAATTCACGGTGCCGACCCACTTGTAATCCCCGATCCAGGATTTATGAACACGATGACGCCGCTGCAGCTCGCCTATCTTCGTGGTAACTACGCGGTTGCACAAGAGCTTGAGGAGTGGGGTGGTGACGTTGCTCTCACGCCATTCCACTTGGCGGCAGCGCAAAACAATGTGCTCGCCGTTCAAAGATTTCTAGCTTGGAAAACGGATGTCGACTGTCTGGGTGAAATGGGCTATGTTGGTCTTAACCGGAGGACACCGCTGCATTGGGCGGCTATCAGCGGCTCGACCGAAGCTGCTGATGTGCTGCTTAAAGCTGGAGCCGACCCAAATTTCCAAGATACACGTGGTCGATCACCTCTACATTGGGCAGCAAAACTTAACAAGTTTGAGGTGGTTCGATTGCTGCTTCGAGCTGGTGCCGAGGCCAACCTGGCAGATGGTGAGTTTATGACACCGTTGATGTGTGCTGCCTCCGCTCGGGATGCACCTCGTGAGCTTTTCAGCGAGCTGACGGCTGCAGGGGGGCGATATTGGCTACCAGCTGCCAACTACCGGTGACACTGCTCTGCACATCGCCGTTCGCGAGGAGAACGTGGCATCGGCTTTGGCAGCATTGGCAAGTGGAGGTGATTTGATGCGCACGAACTATGAAGGTTTGCGTCCACTGGATTGTACAGTATCGACGACATTGCTATTTGAGCTCAAGCGTGCCGCTGGTCAGCGTGATGTGATGATTAGTTACACGCATTCTCATTTTGAGTTTGCTCGGAAGTTGAGGCAGTCACTTGAGGAGGCCAATGTAACCACGTGGTTGGATTTGATGGATCCGAGTGGCATTGGGGGGTGGTGCTGTTTGGCGCGAGGAGATTGCGCGTGGAATCACGAATGCGTCCGTAGTGCTTTGTATTTTTACGGAAGACTACGCGTCGTCAGAGTGGTGTTTGAAGGAGTTGGCGCTGGCAAAGCAGATGGGCACGCCCATCTTGGCCGTCTCAACCGAGGGTGCCATCGTCGACGAAAACCTGCAGGTGTACCTATACACACGACAGATCGTTCCATTCGAGCCAGCTATCGTAAATATTCGCTGTGATGGTGGCCGGATTGAATACGAGTACCAAGAGGACAGATATCAGTCGCAGTTCCACTTGCTACTTGATGGCATACGCGATGAAGTCGAGAAGCGCCGGGTTTTCACAAAGCAGAATAATATTGCTGGTAGCCGCAAGCTTGCGCGTGACGCAGACACTGGAGAGGGTATTGCCGAGTCGAGCAGTCGTGGAACCATGTTGCAAACATTAGGCGATACAAGAATCTCTCAGCTCACAAGTTTGTGGGACCCCATGACTTTATCACGACCTAGTGATTTTCACAAGGAGCATTTCGTCTTCATTTCGCATGGAGACAAGCATGTGGCTTTTGTACAGCGACTTGTGTCTCAACTTTCAGAAGCAGGAGTGCCTTACTACAACGATCAAAGCGTCAATGGGCAAGATTTTTACACACGTATTCAGTTAGCAAAGGAGGCCATTCTACGCTGTTCGTGTTTTGTGGTGCTGGTGTCTAAACAGACCGTAGGGAATGAGTTGGTGCGTGACCAACTGGCGTTTGCAGAGGACAAGGGTCGACCGATTTTCCCCGTTGTGTTGAATGATTTGGACCCTGGCCTAGATAAACGATACTCACTTGTGCGTAGTGAGCTGTTTCACTTTATGGCGAATGGAATGAGTTTCAAAGCTAGTTTTGATCGGTTAGTTAAGGGTTTACGCAGACAATGGATGGATGGGGGACACCAGGAAGAAAAGTATGGATCATCGTCAGAGAATGGAGCAGATCAAAGTCGCAACCTGGAATCCATTGAAGGGCTTGACGATAACGATTTAGATTGGCTGCGCACTAGAGTAAGAATGTAAGCAACAGATTTATTATGAACCCCAGGAAGCGTCTTGTGGATTTAATAATGCTTCTAGGCACGATGTAGACATGAGAGAAAGTCACTTACGTTGATATTGGACGACTTGAACATCTCGAATGTTGGCTGTCAGTATCATAGGAACACTACACATGGTGGTGATAGACAGTAAGAAAACAAAGCATTCAGGTGTCAGCATCACGCATATATGCATGATATTCATACAGGCGTGATGCTGCGCTTCTACTTTTCACACACGTGCTTTACCACACACACAGGAGCAACGCGTATATACTTGACAAATGCTGGTAGCCTCCATTTTTTTCATCATCGTGCTGGTCGTCGTGGTAGACCTACTGGCTGGTAAGGCCACCGCTACATACATACTTCATGGTCGTAGTTGTGGTCGTCACATATTCTTTGCAGCATCGGTATCGCGTCTTACTTCTCATTCTCAGCGCGCTTACGCATGCGTCGACGCTGGTTCTTGGTCAGTCTGACCTCTATCAGAGCAGGAGTGCTACCAACGGGACCCACTTTCTTAACGGGCTTGCACTGTTGTGGTAGCAGAGTTTCGTCGCTGACTTCTGCGTCACGCGCTGAGCTCGTCTTGTTCTCGTCGTCCTGATGCTCCTTCAACGTTTGCTGGTAACGAGCATTACGGCGCTGCTGAAACTCGTCCTCGCTGCGCAGCAACTCCTGGATCTTGTCCTCCATGTAAGTGCGAACCTTTCGAACTTCATCTGCAGGGCCCTTGAGTGTAATGGAGTTATCGCCACGACGAATATCAATCTTCACATCCTTGAATTGCTTCTGTACGGCAAGTATGTTTGCGCCACTCTTTCCAATCAGAGACGCGATTATGGAGCTCGCACATGCAGGTGAGACAGTGGTGGGAAAAGCAATCGTATCCACCGCAAAAATGTCCATAAGATGCTCAATCTTTTCCACAATACGCTCGCGTTCATCGTAGTCATCACCGTAGATAACAATCTGCACTTTATCGTCCTCCTTGCCGTTGATAACGTGAAACCGAACACCTTTTACAGCGTCTTTCTTGACGGATAACGCCACATCAAGCTTGTTTTTGCTAACATCCACAACAGAAGACATGTTCTGGTGGTGAGTAAGCAATTCCTCCACCTTTTCGGTCGCAACCTTAATCACTGCGTCATCACTTGAGCTGATCGTGAGTACACGATCTTCATAAGGCGAAGCCGATGGCGATGGTGTGCTCAAATACAACCGAGCATTGCTTTCCGATCTAATCTTCCTGACAGTCTCCCCGTTACGGCCAATCAAGATCGGCACAAGCCAACCAGCTACAGGTATTTCAATATGCTGCTGCTTCCAGGCCTCGACGTCCTTCTTCAACTGCTCTATGATCTCCTGAGCATGTTCTTTAGAATCCGCAAAAACTTTGAGGCTCGTCTTAGTAGGCATCAAGAACACGACTTTGTATGTAGCGCGAAGAGAAGGCAGCAGCTCATACATACGTGTCATAATAAACGGAGGCAAATCTTCTAGTGTCTGGAAACAGTCCGTGTAGTGAAACTGAATCATCTTCTCAACGTCACTTTTAGCCATGTACACCTTGCCAGCATTTGTGCCTTCAATGAAAATAGTGCCTTCTCCACAAGCACTTGACGCCATACGAGTGCGCTTAACGCGGATATCGCACCCAGTTTGCTTACAGATTCGCAAGGCGTTCGCATTAAGCTTAGCGCTTTCGCCCTTGACCTCGATAGCATTGGCAAACGTTATCGAAGGCAGTGAAATGGTTTCTACAAAGTGCGGGTCTGGTGACACCAACATCTCCAAGAATTCCTTAATCTTGCCAATCCCCAAAGCAGGACCACGAATCTTAGCCACCTTGCCGTCATCCTGGAAGGACACTCGCATGCCTTCACCACCCTCAGCCTCCAACTCCTGCAGACGCATTGCGATTGACTCATACTTCTCCAAAAGGAAGCTGAAGTTTGTTAAGGTTGGGTCAGTAGCACCTGCAGTTGCTTGCTGATCCTGCCGAGAGACGTGAACGCTCTCGATTGCATGAGTTTCTCGCAGCGTCTTGAGCACATCATCAACACATGTCCGGAGGGCCTCAGGCGATGATGCTTTAACACAAACTTGCCCATGTTTCGGGAATGCATCTAATGTAGCGTCCGGGTGAGCAAGGCGCATTGCCTTAATGCGTTCCCCTTGTTTACCGATCAACCAGCCAGCAGCATAGGCATCCAGCTGTAAGATCTGGCGGTTTCGCGTTTGCAAAAGCTCGTGAACGGCAGTCTGCACAATTTCCAGCTGTTCTTCTGTGCCAATCATCTCCAACTCAGGAGGTTCGTCGCCCAATCCTTGCAGCACGCGGATCTTGGCCCCGCTCTTCATTTTAAGTTCGGCGATAGTTTCACCCTTCTTACCAATCACAGTCGACACTTCATCATTGTCCAGCGGCAGATATCGGACATGGTGATCTTTGTCCAGTTCCTCAAGCTTTTCCTTCGCCTTTTGGATCGCTTCCATTGTACCAGTAAGCGATATCTTGATTTTAGCAGACTCGTCGTCGCCCCTTCGAGTAGCCTCATCGCGTGGTGGCGGGGGCAAGTGCAGCTTGCAGCCGCTGCTAGTCTCAATTTCATTCAATTTTTCACGCTTTGACGCCACTAAGACTGCAATTAAACTACGCGACGTTACGAAGGCCGAGCGCTGATTGTTACCAACAGTCTCCAGAATCTTAGCTTTAGCACTACGAATGGATTTTTCATCATCACCAAGCACACACACGCATGTATCCTGGATACTAATGCGCACACTGCTTCCCTTGACTTCCTTTGTAATCTCCTCTATCATACTTCTCTTCTTGCGAGCAATAAGACTAAGTAAATGATTGTCGGCCACTTCATGCACCCAATGGTGTCGCTCAAACTCGTTTACACGTTCTCGAAGCGCATTGTCTAAAGCATTAATCTGCTTCATGTTACCCAACACTTGAATGCGACGTTCCGCCTTTAACACCTTCATACGAGCTTCCAAGGCGTCGGTGCGCAGCAAACGTAGTTGTTTCCCCTTATTGGCTATGAGAAACTCTGTGAAAAGCTCAAACTTGTACTGCATAAGCTCGGGCGTTTTGAACAGCTCCTTGTTCTCAGACGTAACGTTCTTCTCGCATTGAGATTGTTCAGTGATAAGCTTTCGAACAAACTTCTCCGCACCAACGACACTGTCCATCGAGCCAACAATCCTCACATTGCTGGTCACCTTATCAATGTCCACAAGAGCACCAGTCTCCTCCATCAGTCGGTTGATCGTCTCGCCCTTCTTGCCAATAAGCTTCGGTACAATCTCGGCTGGCAATAAAATATCAACCTTGCTCGCTGTCAGCTCGTCAATTGCCTTTTTTAATTGCTTCACCTTATCAGGCGAGGCCATGACCGTTAAAATACCCTCTGTCTTGCTAATATCAATTTTCAGCTTCAATGACTTCTCAAGCTCATGTAGATGCTTGGCCTGTTGGAGCATCAGCATTTTCACCGTATTGGGATGTAGTCCAATCGACTGATTAGTAGCAAGTATAATGTCCTCTATCGCTTCCTTAGCTGCCTGTACTTGTTCCAAGGCGCTCGTAATCGTAACAATATTCTGTTTATTGTCGACTTCAAGCATCACAGAATACTCTTGTTCCAATTGATGTATCGTCGTAAATTGTTTTCCAATCACAAAACCCATTTTCTCAGCAGGAACTATCACTTGAATTGTACTCATCTCGATTATAGGTTTCTTCAAATACGCTGCAAGTTTCAGTTTACGTATACGTTGCTGTACTTGATGGATTGTCGCATTCAATTCTTTCTGTTGCTCATAACGTTCTTGTCGCTTCGTACGCATTTTGTCAAGTAAAAGCAGATAGTCGTCAGCTACTTTATGTTGTGCAACTTTGTCCTTAAGTTGTTGCAGCTCACGTAATACCACACGCTCTTCTCCACTAGACATGGACGTTGTATTACGATACCATTCTTTCTTCTCCATCTCGTCTTTTAGACGCTCAATTGACATTGTAGGACGACGTGGAGGTTTAAGTACTGCCATCCGGAGCTTCTCGTCTAGTTGCTTCCCAACGATTGCATTAGCTTCTTTGGCTGCAGTCGTAGTTTCTAGATGCTTGTTCAACTCACGAAGCAGTTTTATATCACTAGAGATAGACATAATATGGGCAACGAGGAAGACACGACGGAGAGTGAAGAGCGTGAGCGTATTAGTGCCGTAACGCTATGTGCGTGCGGACTGACGCGCGGCGCGGTCTTTTTTATAATCTGATAAATCAAAAAATACCTTGTAGATTGTATGAAAGAGTTTATGTGGTAGACATCATGGATAGAGTGAAAGAGTGAATGTCACGTAGTTGAAGTGACCTCCTCAGCCAATGGTTTATCATAGACTGTGGAATGAATTGATTATGGCTGTATGAATGATCGATCTTCTTACGACTATCAGCCTTACAATCGATATAGGTTACGCAATACATTCGTATCAGCAACATTTGATTCCATCACTTTTGCTGATGTGGTTATATCCAGTAGCGATGGTGGTTTTGACCTGTACCATTCATTCAAGTCGCACGTAGCTTTGATGTGCTTGTATCCACGCCTTACGTCTGTAAACAACAGCTTGCAAGGTACTACCTCCTGAACTGTTATGCTGCAATGTATGTAAATCCTTTCATACGTACATGAGAAATATCATCAAACGTTGTTGCGCACGCATTGCATTCGTCTAAAATCTACGTCCTGCATCTTAGATACGAAACAAATACGTGACTCAGCGAGTTGGATCCGTATGCATCTCTCACAGATGACGCGCACCAAATGAGTACGAGTCGACAAGTAAGTAGTAGGAAAACGCGGAGCCCTGGAATCATTCTACAGATGTGTTACAATGTAGCAAGAAGATACAAAACCTATGCCTCCTTCTGGCGTCGCATGTTTTCGTGCTGCAATTAGTTACGTACACTGCCAGCTACTTTGTTGCATTCAAATTCATGTCAGCTCCACCAACTCACCACATTACGACGGCACGTAGCGCCAACGTGCGCGAGCGTCCAAGTCGTCCTTTTGCGCATGCTGACGAAGCAGTTCCTTCTTCTCACGTTGCCGCTCCTTCTTGCGGCGATTCTCCCGCTGACGTTTCGTAAGACCATCCATCATCGGCTCAGCCGGCGTAGCCACTTGCAAGCGACGTGCACGATGTTTTGAAGCACTGGAGGTGCCCACCACCTGCCACCCGTCATCGTCCAATGCGCTTGATTCAGAGTCTGACGCTTCCCTTTGGACTGCAGCACCTTGTACCACCTCTTCGGTTCCTGCATCAAGCAAAACATCCTTTCGCTCGCTGCCTTCATTCTCTTCACTCTTTGTCGGCTGTAGCTTGATGAACTCGGCCGGGACTCGGAATTCCACCTCTCCGTCGTCATATTTCAAGTGGTACGCGTTACCTTTGCGTTGCTCCAACACAATTGCTGGAAACCATCGATCTCCACCACCAAATCTGGCCAATACTTGTTGGCCTACTTCAAATCTTCCAGCGTCTATAAGTGGCAGAGAAGCTTTAATTTTTTGGGCAAGACGACTGCCGCCGAGACTCACGGGTTTAAACTTGCGTTTGGCCAGTACCTGCGCAGCCGTGTAGCCGTCATCTGAGTCACTGTCACTCAAGTCATCATCTCCACTCGTCTGAGATACAGGAACGGATGCTTTTGGTACGGAGGCTACAGACGTTGAAGGCGTCTGTGGAGACTCTTGGGAAAGCGTGGGTGAATCAGAATCAGCAGTGGATTTCGTACTGCTCTTCTTCTTACTGCGTTTTTTCGAGCGTTTCGATGAAGTTTGTGATGTCATAGGCAAAGGTTTTTGTACCCATTTGTAAATCAACAGCGAGAGTGTCAATAGAAATAGCGTCAACACGAGACGAATAAACAATGAGAGCTCCGCCATGTTTACAATCAGTTTTTTTTGCCGAGGGAAAAGAAAGTGAGAATATTGCAAGCTGAAATGTCACGAGAACTCGGAATTTTACAAGTAAAATTGCGTGAATTACACTGTGAAAACAATAAGTGACGGATAAAACCTAACCAGTTTCACAATATTGGAAGGAATTTTAACGTTAACTTTCCATTGCAAACTTCCATTTTGACCATAAAAGCTGATGAAAATGACTAAGAAGATGAAAAACGTAGAAGAACTCTAGATGAGAAAGTGAAGAGCATGTAACACAGACAATCATGTTATATAAGAAATATAATACCGTTGCAATCATATGTTACTTTCTTCTACTCCACGGACTGTTCGACAAGAGGCCACATTGGAATCATGTCAGTGCCACATGTTTTATAATAATGATAGGCAGTGTCAATGTGTATGTTCTGAAGAGCTTCAAGGAAGCTCAAAGATCGCACCAATCTTTCGGCATCTTTCAATGGCCGTTGCTTCAAGGTCGTATCTTGTAGCAATGACCACGTTCAAACTGAGCACGTACATGTCACTGTAATGGATTCGTGCATTGCTCACGACAACACAGCACATCAGCTGATTGTGAGTAGACAATGAGCTCAACAGGTGGCACTTGCTCGTCGTGTGATGATGATGACCTTGGCCCTTTGGTGGGATCAGATCACCCGAGTCATCCCACACTGACGGGCTATTGTGAGTAAAAGATCAACCAAGTTGCTGGCTCAAGCCAAGGGACAGCAGAAAATGGAATGCCAAGCAATTCTTTTCACTGGAGAAGGGCCAGTGAGAGGTGCAGGAACTCAGGCAAAAAGAAGAATGGCATCGACGACTGTGCCTAGATCAGCGATCATAAACGAATTTGACGTCTAGTACGCAACAGTCTCCTACAAAGTAGCCTTAGTCGTTCAAAAGACCAACACGTTCTAGCCATGTACCCAAGCTTCCGCCACAAAATGTGGCAGCAGCCCACACATCCCCAGCACACGTCGACATCAACGTCGCCGCCCCCATCTCAGTATAACTGGTTTGCCCTGCAAAAGACAGACCAAGATCAATCGCCTACCGAGGATATTAGCAGTAGCTGTTTCCACTACACCACAAGCACTAGCCAGGACCAACGCGTGTACGTCTATCCGCCTACGTACTCCTCAATACCTGCGTCAACGCCTCCCTATGTGTGGACAAATGAGTCTCACTCGCCGCCACCACCAGCTCGAACCTTCCAGTTCCTGCATCCGTCAACGTATCCGCAGCCTCTCTATTCCGCCGACATTCAAGCTCAAGAGATCCAATTGCGGATCGACCAACAGCCACACGTACAGACAGCTCTCCGTCGTAGCCAGCAGATCGCAATTGGCCGATGGAACAATGACGAGCACGAGTGGTTCCTAAAGGGACTCGAAATGTTCCAAAGACCAGCATGGGGTGAGATTGCCCAACTCATTGGTACACGAACGTCGACTCAAGTGCGAACACATGCCCAAAAGTTTTTCACAAAGCTGGCAAAGTTCAATCAGACGATGCCCTACTTCGAGGTACAGATCCAGAGGGAGCGAGCTCGACTCGTGGCGCAAGGGGCCAGCGTCACTCCCACTGCTCAGAGCTCATCCCGTACTTCCATATCTACTACCACTCTATCGCCTCGCAAGCACCTGGTCAATAACATGCCTCAACAGTCTCTGAAAGGGTTCAAGAAGGAGAAGTCTCCGACGTACAAAGCTACCGTCCAAACTCAATACTCACAAAACAGCTACAATGTCAAGCCACGAGTGTATACTGACAGTATAATGGGGCATTCATCAATAGCGTCTCCCTCGGTGGCCAAAGAGTGGACACAGAAATGGACAACGGATGACGCCAGACAATGGCCACGGACATCTCCCACATCCAAAGTCGCACCTTCATTTCAGCTGACGCAAATGCACATGGGCAATAGCAGACAGCAAAACACTCTACCATCAAACAACGCAGAGCCCGATGTCGATTCATTACCGCCCATGAACAAACTGCTGTACCGCAGCAGCACCTCCTAAAGATGATTTGTAATCTATGTGAATAATGTGGAAAATGTATACTACCTATTTGTTATTCTGACGTACCTTTTTTTAGTAGTAAAGATAAGCCATTTTTAGGATCAATGTCGCCACGGATTGGTAGAAAGTCTATCACTATTGCGCCACGTCACACACGCATTCCGTGTCTTCATGGCTCCTTCACGGCGCCGTCTCTCAACCAAGAAGTCTCGTGTTCGTTACCGTGAGCCGTGTCGACATGCTGTTGTAATGGTATTAGGTGACGTCGGTCGTAGTCCTCGAATGCAGTACCATGCACTTTCACTCGCACGCATGTCTCGAAACCTACGGGTTACACTCTTGGGCTACGCAGGAGAGCATTGTATACCCGACGTATTACACCAGCCAAATATTGACTTGGTGACCTTCACTCCTCATTTCCAGCATTTTCCACGCAAGCTCTTTTTATTCCTAGCACCTTTTAAGGTTTTCTTGCAGCTGCTACAGCTGCTCTGGCTACTATTGGTGACAGTGAATAACGTGGACCTTGTATTGCTGCAAAACCCACCGACGTAAGTGATTACTTATCTAACATTGGTTGAAGAGTTGAAGGAGATGGGCAATTGATGAGTCATCAATTGAATCGTCGTGTGGCAGTTTCTTATGACCGTTTCTTGTTTCTACAGGATCCCGACGTTTGTGGTCGTGTGGCTGTGTTGCCGATTAAAGGGCGCTCGTTTTATAATTGATTGGCATAATTTGGGCTATAGCTTATTGGCACTGTCTCTTGGTAATAAACACTTGTTAGTGAAGGTAAGAAGAAGAAGAGAGAGGATATGTGCAATATGATGATCAGGTTGTGGTGTGGAAGCTAAATTACATGTTGTTTGTTCTATTCAAGATTGCCAAGTGGATTGAGCGCGTATTTGGACGTAAAGCTGATGCAAATTTATGTGTCACGTACGTGATGCAGACGTGGTTGAGAGAGACGTGGCAAATTGAAGCGACAGTGTTGCATGACAAACCTCCGCCTTTTTTTAAACCCACGTCGCTTGACATTCAGCATGAACTGTTTACTCGCGTAGGAGATCAGCTTCAACATTGCAATAATGTGCGTGATATTATAGAGCTTTTGTATTGCACGTCATGATTGCACGCTGATTTGCATGGTATCTGGATGTGCTCGTAGCTGGTGACGTGGGGCCAAAAGGCGGCCAACATGGAAGAAACACTCCTTACGTGCAGAGTTCGTGGCCTGAACGGGAAAAAGGGCAAAGCAGTAGTGCAGCCTCGTGAAAACAGACCAGCTATGATCATCAGCTCTACGAGCTGGACAGCAGACGAAGATTTTGGCGTTCTGCTGGCAGCACTGGAACTTCTAGACAAGCGCACGTCATCGCTGAGTGTGTCGGAGTTTCCGAATGTGCTGGTTGTGGTGACGGGTAAGGGACCTCAGAAGGAGATGTATCTTGAGAAGATTAGACAGCTTGCCTTCAAGCGCATCCGGATTGCAACGATGTATGAGTGTTGTTCTATGATGTGATCGAGCGATCTTGTTTTTCACATTTTATTTGTTTTTATAGGTGGCTTGAGGCAAGCGATTACCCCCTTATTTTAGGCAGTGCCGATCTGGGTGTGTGCTTGCATACTTCATCATCGGGCTTGGATTTGCCGATGAAAGTATTGGACATGTTTGGCTGCGGCCTTCCAGTATGTGCTATTGGATTTGAGTGTTTACATGAACTTGTGAAGCACAACAAGTACGTGCAAGACTCTATTGCATAGTTTTTATCCTGCATGGAGCTAACATGATGTCATATGTTATCGTTGTATAGAAATGGTCTGGTGTTTGATTCATCCGAGGAGCTTTGTACGCAAGTCTACAATCTGCTCAAAGGCTATCCTACAAACACAACCCAGCTCAATCGTCTTCGGTCATCGTTAAAGACAGTGGAGGTGAGTTTGGTACTATCTACGCTGTCTTGTTAGTCTCCATACTCACTTTATGTTCTCTCATTTCATTCTCTCGATAGCATTGGCCTGAGAATTGGAACCACGTCGCAGCACCATTGTTCAAAAAGCATTTAAAATGGAACACTATTAATGTAGCCATTAGTAGATAGGTTACAAGATTCTTACACTTTGCAATCTAATTACCGGTAACCAACCGATTTTTACAAGGTATTTTGTATCACTAAATAAAGCCCAAGGGGCAATATAAAAAATAATCGGCTTTTGTCCATTAACAAACGGCTGTTAAAGATGGCTACACCCGGAGGTTTCTCGCTTGGTATTTCTTCCGAGGAGAAACTAGCTCTTCCTCTCGGTACACGTCGTGTGTTTATTCATTCACTCTTCTTCTTGTTCTTCTTCTGGTTATTATTTATTTATGTATATACAATGTCCTATTTGTTTTATAGACACATTGATTCAAAAGACCAAGAACCAAAAGCCAAAGATTAAGGTGAACAACACTAAAATAGGCAAGAAAAAAATGACCAAGAAGAAGCAAATGGTGACGTTAAAGAATTACAGAAGAAGAACATGAAGAAACAGACTCATAAGCAGCAAAATGTCAAGAAGACGGTGCTTGTGCCCGTGTCAAAATCTGCAGTATGTGAAGAAAGTTATCAAAGGAAAAGGACGGAAGGTTTTAACCTTTTTTTATTGCTGTGTGTACAGCGTGCTAGGACAAATGCTGCCGTAGCATCGGCAAAGAGACAGACGGTGATTAATAAGCGGCGGCCTGGACTTGTGATGGATGAACACAAGGGGAAAAAGAAAGTCGCGACTGTACACGTGCGACCACAAAAGACGTCGGCTTCTGCACGAAAACAGCTGAAGAAAGCAAGCAAATTGACTCAACGAGGACTAGATGTGTCGAACATTATCAACCACTTTCGGTCGCATCCCAAGAAGTTTGACGTACCTCAGGGTAGCAACATTCGCATCACGATCAAGTACGTGAGTTGATTTGAGACTGTTGAAGTAAAGGGTGTGCGAGCTAATTGATGGTTTGTGTGTGTGTGCTTGTGCTTGTGGGTACTGGTAGTTTTAAAAACGTCAAGCCTGTTGTTGGAGGTCACAAGTAGGCACGATGATGTGTGACACAGCTAGTACTTGCGTCGTGGTGGTAGATTTAGCATGATGTTACCTTGCTTTGAATTTACTCTCTTTGCGGAGCTTTTGTGGATGACGTTGACGTGGTAATGGTGACAAATAGCGTGCATTTATGTTCAAGATTGGTGTCGTAGGTGATGAAAAAAAGGCGATGCTATGTTTTGTAGTGTACGAAATTTGCAGGACTCGCAACGCCGAGCTTCGTAATAATTGTGACTTGTTGAACGATCCTGCGCCATTTGAAGCACGGCACCGTGTGATATATCGCTTTGAGCTGTGGTAGCGTCAAAGGAAAAGTTGGATTGCTTGTACAGCGCAAACCGTTTGTCGTCGGCCTTCGTTGTACGAACTTGTACGGTGGTCGGGCGTCCTCTTTTCGATCACACAATTAATGGTACGCTTTAAGAGTCTGTACACCTTCGTAATGCCGTTTCGTGTGCCTTACATTGATGTCAGACAAGCTACTGCCGTAGGACTGGTGTTCACTCCCTGCTTATATGTGCCTTTATCGTCTTGTGCTCCACGAAAAACTAGCTCAACGTTCCCATTCTGCGCACTTCCTATCCATCATTGACGCCAATGGACATCATTCCTCATACTCGAAGGACCACTGATCGTTGGTCGAACAAGCAGAATCACTGATGAATTATGTTGGCACATTGGTGATGGATTGCATGGATTGATATAAGAGCTTGCCCGTGAAAAGCAAACTTGACGTGCGGCGTTTAATTGACAACGATGCGTAACGTATGGGCCCAGCCGTATGCGAAGTCTATAGAGGAAATTCTTATTTGTAGAATTTCGTCGCCGCAGACAATTGTGTTCTGCTTGACAACCTTGATCGGATGCTAGACAAAAGGGTGACGAAAATTACAAATGAAACAATGTACAGAGGAGCTGCATGTTGCTTGAATAACTTGTTCAGACGCAGAAGGTCTCACATAATTTGATTTCGCAGCAGTTGACGACTTCCAAAAAATGCCACAATATCAGTGACAGCACGGGATGCAAAGCGACTAATGCTGCGTTTCAGGAAGTACGCGCTGAAGCCACTTTGTAATGTCATCCAACTCTTCCATGCACGCACTGTGCTCCATGTCCGGGTACGAGTGAAACTCCACATTTTTTACACCTGCCGTTTCCAGTTTAACTTTGGACATTTTACCGTATTCATAGCGCACAACCGGATCCTTCTCGCCGTGGCACATAAGCAGCGGTACATTTGCTGTCTCTGACACGAGTTGAAACGACTGCTTTGACCAACAAACAACAAACAACTCAACATCAGATACGTGTTTATAGCAGAGAATGGAATACAATACGTACGTCGTAACGTGGTAGATATCCAGACATAGCAAGAATACCACCAAGCACCATCTTTGTCTGATAACCCGAGAAGATTGACAATGCTGCACCTTGACTAAATCCTCCAAGCACAATACGCGATGGAGGAATACCTCCATGTACCTATACCAATAAGAAAGAAGAAGAATATTCACTTTTTTTTAGATATTATCCACCTTATACTTTCAATACAAAATCATCTTTTTCTTCCAACCTCTCTTTGAATAATATCCATGATACGATTACGAGATTCATCAATGCCATCGGCATTATCCTTTTTCCATTAATACGAGAAAGAGACTTGATATCATACTACAAATAAACAATACCAAAGTTTATCGCTTGTGAGACGAAAAACGACATGATTCTTGACACTTTACATTGTTTGTAGATGATAAATATCATGAAACGTACCCATGCGGGCATTTTCATACCCATATTAGCCGTTACTGGCATGGACGAAGCTAATATAATCAGATATTCGAAATATCCAGATATTTTTTATACGTAAAAAAAGATCCAGATAAAATTCATCGAATTTATAGCACAATATGGATGTTTACCTGTAGGCAAAACAAACTTCACATATGGCAATTCTTTGGATAAATTGGCCATAGCATCGCTCCACCCGTAGCCCGTGTCTCCAAGACCATGTAAGAAAATCACCTGGTACAAGCAAAACATTTGTCAAGGAGTTGGATAGTATCGCAAATCAACATGTACGCTAACTGACAGTGGCAGTTGGATTTTCTGGTGATAGGATAATGTTTTTATCTCTATCTGTCGTGATGCGGCTTGTGCTCATGGTATTGGTGCTGCTGAATCGAATCGATCTGCGAGTCGTCGTTAGACAGCGTACAAGCATTTAATGGTGTTGATACCTTTAAATGTTGTTTGTATGTGGTGCACACCATCCTGATCCGTACAATTATCAAGTACAGTTGGTTTTAGAAATCCAGAGAATATCAGGATATCATTTCTAATTGTTAAACCAAGAAAACGGACAAAAAGAAATCAAAAATATCCACTTTTTGCTTTGCTTTTTCACAATCCAACGGATTTTAGTGACTCGTAGCTTTATGATAAAAATAGAGAATATTGCACAGAATCTTGTGGAAAAAAAGTTGATATGGCTGAACGCAATCGATATAATTGCGAAAATTGCTCGTTAAACGTTAGATATCGCCATTATAGTCTAACCATTGAGGTGATAAAGGATGAATAATATTTTAATCAGCTTCACTTACAGCAGCAATATCGGTACTTTTCACCATGGTCGATCGCGATTTACGAAGGTTTTTCTTCATCTGGTCAAACATTCGTTGATCCGCACGTGAAACAGATGGCAACACACGATCAAAGGAGGCGAGAAAATGATGATGCTCAATTCCTAAAACTGCTGTAGCATTAGTCTCCAAGTTTGAGAAATCCGTCTCACGCAAAGCTGTAATTCCAGCTTCACGAACTAATGCATTGAGATCGGCACCACTAAAACCCTCACAGCGAGGATCACTCGCAATTGCCTCCAGCTGAACGGATGGTGCCATGACACATTTGGCTGCAATTGTTTTTAGGATCTGATAGCGTGCAGATGCTTGAGGAAGCGGGACATAGAGCAGTTTATCAAGACGACCAGGACGCAGCATGGCAGAATCGATAATATCGGGACGATTTGTTGCAGCAATCACAAATACATTGCGACGACCGTCCAAGCCATCCATTTCGGTTAACAACTGGTTCACGACACGTTCACTGACACCATTACCACCAGCATCACCACCAGCACCACCCGATCGTCGAGGAGCCAAAGCATCGAGCTCATCAAAAAACACGACACATGGAGAGGATGCTCGTGCTCGCTGGAAAACCTGCCGCACAGACCGCTCCGACTCACCCACATACTTGTCCAGAAGCTCGGGTCCTTTAATACTGATAAAATTTGCACCACTTTCATGTGCGATAGCCTTAGCCAACAATGTCTTGCCACAACCGGGTGGCCCGTACAGCAATACACCAGCAGGCATGGACAAACCAAGAGCTGCAAACCTCTCCGGATGAGCAATCGGTTGCAGAATCGCGAGCGATAGCTCGTCACGGACCTCGCTTAGAGCACCAATGTCGTCCCACGAGACATCTGGGATCGTAGCGAATCCCTCACGTTTCGAGCTTGGTTGCACCTTCGGGATAGCAGCTTCAAAATCAGCCATCGTGATGCTAAGCGGTGCTAGCTGTGCTTCTGTAAACGGTTCCATCTGAGCGCGCAAATCATTAGCTGCTGATGGAGTCGTCTCACTATCCTTCACTTTCTCCACCAAGTCACCCTGAGTCATATCTGTCTCCATCAATTCATCACTCGAACTCGCATCTGACATCTCCGTCTCGACAGACATACAAGTCGCATTAACGTTCCTTGTCACCTGATTTACTTTGGTAATATTTGTGAAAATGCGGTTCACGGCTCCGACCGCAGCCTCCTTCGTCAGTGACACTAGATCAGCGCCAACGTATCCAGGTGTTCGGCGAGCAAGCATAGCAAAGTCAAAATCTCCCTCTAATGTCATTTTCCTTGCCAGTACACGCAAAATCTTTTCCCGTGCCTCTTCATCCGGAATTCCCAAACAAATCTCGCGGTCAAACCGTCCAGCCCGACGCAACGCCGAGTCCAGTGCATCCGGTCTATTTGTTGCTCCAATCAGCACCACCGGTTTTCCTCCAGTGTTTTCTAGACTCAACGAGTCGGTACTCGTCAGCAACTGTGCTACAATTCTCTTTTCCATCCCACGCGCAGATGTCTCGCGCTTGGGAGTAATTGCGTCAATCTCGTCAATGAAAATGATTGACGGAGCGCGTGCAATGGCTTCATCAAACAGTTCCCTCAATTTCTGTTCTGATTCGCCTGACATACCGGATACCACCTCGGGCGCTGAGATCTTTAGAAATGTGGCTCCACACTCTCCTGCAATGGCATGAGCCAGCATGGACTTGCCTGTGCCCGGTGGACCATGAAGCAGCACTCCTCTCGGTGGTTCCACACCTAAATGTGCGTAAATTTCTGGATGAGTCAGTGGATACTCGATAAGTTCCCGAACTTCTTGCAAAATGGCCTGAATCCCTCCCACGTCGCTATATCTGGCGGTAGGACGCTCCACAACAAAGCCTCTACTTTCTTCTGCTACATTGTCCACCTCCTGAAGCTCCTGTTTGATCCTTTTACGGACAATCTTAACCTTTTTAACCACCGGTTTATCTGCTACTGCATTGGCATAATTTTGCTGAATCACTCGATTTAGGGCGTTTCCAGCGCCTGATGCGGCTCGTAAATTCTCTTGCGCTCTAATTTTCCTTTCATCATCACTGTCACTAATAGATCGTGTGCGTTTCGGCACCTCGGAGCCCGTTTTGTCCTGGTTTTTAGCATCCAACAGATTCGGCTGTGACTTTTTCAACACTTTAGCCACCATTTTACGCAGTGCACCCTGTGGTTTACGTTGATACTCCGCGTATGTATCACGCAGGTACGATGTGATGGTAACCTCGCCTGGATGCGCTCCACGTTCCTCACACTCACGCAGGTAGCGCCGCACATGAAAACTTACCTTGGCCTCCATTGTCGAAAGTTGTTTGTGTTTTCACTGGTGTAGATGAAAGACGTTGTTGATTGGCTGAAAACAGGTATTCTTGATGCCTTGTATAAGTTGCGCCTTGTATAGGTTTCCCCCTTGTATACGTTACAAGTCCAAAAAGAATGTGATGTATTCGGATGGGCTCTCATAAATTAGTGCAGGTGAATGTCGATATCTCTTGGTATAAGTGAGTAGAGTATGAGCTTCTTGATGCTCGAGTTCGTTTGTTGCATGCATACAAACTTACATCAGCGTTACTCACCACATACGTTCCAACAATGGAAAAAGAAGTGAGTTTTGCCATGTTATCGTGAATTTACCAATCGAAGTGGTAGTGTCAACACCGAGTCTCCTTCCCTTGTCAGTACAATACAATCGTCATTATCTAAGTTGGCACGTGCTCGACGCTTCACGTACTACTTATCGTACCAATGCTTTCAATCTGGTTATTTCGGGCTCCACATTCCAAGTCGCGTGTCAAACTGCATCCGAAGGAACTTGTTGTAGCGCACAAGGTGCCGTTTGTCATGCGTCTTCAATACTTCGTCAACGCAAATTATAATCAGTGGCCACACGCCCAAAGATACAACCCAGAAGACCCGAGGAACTGACTGGCTCGCAAAATGCCAGAGGATGATTCCATCGGCACCAACGATTCCCGCACGGAGAGTGCTGACCAGAAGCTGCAAGCACAACAGCAAGAACGCTACGGCCACCCACATGATGTTTCGGAATGGAGAAACTTTAAATATGCTCTCGCATCGGTACAGGTACCCACACGACGAGGTCACAATACAAATGCCAATCGATAGCAGCATACCGGCTTCAGCGCGATCCACTGCAGCAGCAACAATAGCCGGCCGTGGCCTTACCGTCAACAGTTCGTTGTCGAATATGAAATTCATCCATCGGAAATTATGGAATCTCTCGTTTTCGAATGCACGTGGATCGGAAATACTTGACGCTTGAAGAGAGAAACCAAGCAAGCACTCAAACACGGCGATTGATAACAACACTGACGGCACATGACGGCACACAAAATAGGTGACCAACCGCGGCAGATCATCCTCCATATCATATTCTTCATTCTTGCGCGGGGTCTTTTTCATGATGTCCTTCTCGCTTGCCGTTGCAAGCATAGAGAGGCTGAGCGCCGGTACCAATACCCACAAGAGCCAGAAAATCGACGAGCAGCTCAGTTGCGGCACATGCGGGAAAGGTACAGCATATGAGGCAAGGATGATCGTGGCGATTAAATGCTGAGATACGAAGATAAATGTGTTCATCTGGTTGAAATTCGTAAGCATGCGCCGTCCCAACCGAATGAGTTCGATCAGATGGGCCACACTAGCTGTTCCGCCTGAAATGGTATCGTCGTTGCTGTCAGTGTCATGCGACACGTCTGGGGCACTCTTCAGGCGGAAGGCACACGCGAGGGTGTTTAGAATATGACTAAACTGAATGTCATCGTCTGAGAAAATAGATAGCTCTTTTCCATGAGGAATTGGCTTGTCAAAAAATGCTTGGACGCCACCCTGTAATGCCACCGCTAAATCTGCTTTTGAGAATAAAGGTGCGTTGCTTTCCTTCAAAGACGAACCAACACCCATGACTACCTCGTGGTTTTCTTGAAAGATAGAAATCATCTCGCTGATTGTTTCCGGTGTACTGTCTGTATAAAGAGACACCAACAATGGCACGTTATCCACTTCCTCCAGGTGTCGCTTGATGGCGTCTACGCCATGCGGCAAGCGAGCTTTCACGTCCCAATCTGAGTAATTTGAAGTCATGCGATGAGGGTCGGGGCCATCGCTGTCAAGTGAGCGCAGCGATATAGCACAATTCCAGTCTGTCTCGATACCCATTTTCTCGGCAAGTAGCTTGCTTCGGCGCATGTTACGTGGAGAGAAGTACACAAAGCGAATGCCGCAAGCGTTCAGATCTTCAATAAAGTCAGGGGTATGTTGCTTTGGCTGGACTCCTGTCGCAACCATACCCAGGAAGATCTGGTCATCCTGAATGCGCCAGAGCATAGACTCCTTCTCAACGGAGCTCGTGTCGGATGGCTGTAACCCCACCGACAGCTCAAGATCACTTGACGCCAAGTTCCCGCGTCGTCTGGAAGATGGTGTCACTTGCCCGCTTGGAACAGCCCCCATTGACTTAGCTGCTTGCGCCTCAGAAATTGACTCCTGATCTATAGACAAATCATCGATTGATTTTGGGGACACTAGTGGTGATGCTTGCCCTACAGAATACGTATGGCGTTGGCCATCATGTCCATGTCCCTGGTCTTCACTCATGCGGCTAGAAAATGGCATACTGTTTTGTCTAGCTCTCGAGTGTGGTGAGCTCAGTTCACTGGTTGTGCTATCATCGACAAGATACACAGGTGGTAGTGTCGCTCCCCTCTGTACACTGCGAGTGGGGCCAACACTAGGTGAGTCGAGAAAACTGTTCCCATTGCTGCTAGAACCATTACGGGTAAAGAGATTGTTTAGCTTGTGAGGAACAGGGACGTACGAGAATGCAATGCAATCCAGATCCTCAACTCGCCACTGGTTATACATGTCAAAAATAGCACGTTGTTTCTCACTCGTTAGTGGACATATCGATTTACCATCCCAATATTCACTGCAGTGAGCCAGCACAACCGTCGGGTGGCCACGCGACAATAACTGATGCCGATGTGAACGCTTGTCAAGTATTACCGTTGAATAAAGGTGTGACTTGAGATTGCCTCGATATCGTGTATCTTCTTGGCCTTGGTCGTGATGGTCATTCGTGTGTTCATGATGGGCAAGCCGAGGACAAATAATATGAATGGACTGCCGTCGTTGAAACTTCGTCAAATCATCAGCGACCGAAAAGCCCATTTCACGAGAGAGATTGAGCAAATGCTTTGGAAATGGCAACATCCGAATGTGAGCCGATAGACGCTGCATGCAACTTCGCAAGTATGGGTCTCGTGTGTCTCCATCATCACCCGGATACAGCCCCTCATTTACCAGATAGCGCATGTTCTCATCGTAGTGTCGCGCTGGATCTTCGTCGTCGTTTACCATGATCGCTAATCCAATTGGCTTGAGCGACGGTAAGTGCTGCTTCCACTTTGGGTCCTCAAACTTTAGTCCTGTGTCACAATGGCGCTCAGCATGCAGATCTAAAACCGTAGAGTTGTTGTTCTGTTTATCGTTTAGAAGAAAAATCTCCTCCACAGACGGCGTTTGCTCGCATAGAATGTCGTCGTCGAAGCAGCATAACATTGTAACATTTCCCAACCGCTCAAGCAATCGAAAAGAGCGAAACGGCACTGGTAGATGTCGCCGGTCAGATACATGCGCGAGGTCACAGCGCATCATACGAAACCGAAGTACAACCAAAAAGTATTGAAGCGATCGCATAACGGCAGATTGCTTTTGGGCCTTTTCTGAGCGTAGCCTTTCTCGATCTTCAACGTCATAGATGTCGGGTGGGAACAGTGCTGTCGCTTTCAAGATTGACGCCATCGCGCTATCGATACGAGATACATGCGCACCATGATTTGATTTTGCCTTGCATGCCTTTAAACTGTCTTTATCTATGTCCTGCGCTGTGTTTTCTTGCACTTGCGTCTCAGTAGAATCACCAATGCTGTTTTCTGCAGCTTCCTTCGGCGTTTGATTTTTAGGTTCTTTTGGGACCAAGATGTCGTCGAAGGAGCCCAGAATCGACGCAGTCGCAGCCGCCTCGGCAACAAACAAAACCAACGGTGTATTGAGTGAGGCAAAACACATCCAAACGCCCATTGGCCCGATGAGAATATGGGAAAGAGTGATATCAAGTGACCGATGCTGCACAACCATACGAAGTCCAATTGCTACAAGCACCAAAACTGTGTACGACATGCAAATATACGCTGCCACACGCCTTGCTTGTGCATGCAGCTTCTGCGTCGGTGTCATGGGTCTGTTTATGTGAAACAGAGCATCTTCAATATCTCGCACCACCGGTGTCTCCATCACCTCAAAAATTCGCATCTCACCGCACAACTCCAGCAGCAACGGTGGATCAAACGTCGCCGTACATCTGGTCGTATCCTTTGCATGTCGTCTGGTCCACGGCGGCAATTTACATCCTCTCGGATACACTTGCTGTTCTTCATTTTCTTCCACCTCAACCGGTCGAACTTCTCCCGGTGCAATGTCTCCACTCATTAAACCAATAATGTCCCCTTCTACCAGCAAATTCATCGGCATTCGTTGCCACTGACTATCTCTGTAGCACGTGACGTAGCTATTGGACGGTAAGAGAACAGTCGGCTGGGTTCCCCAACCAAGCCATGCGGGTGGCGCTTGGTCCTCCTCCTCCTTCTTCTTCTTATCACTGTCTTTCATCATTTGCTTCACTGCTACTCGAACTCTTTCAGCCATTTCTGCATGATGACGACGCTTCTGCGTCATGTTAAGTACGACATTTCCCACGGCAGCGGCCACTAGGAACAGTCCTTCAGCCACTGCAGCTAAAATGCGGTCCTTCTCGTCTTCAACAAAACGTCTAATAGCTTCAGCAAACCGACAGGAGGCACAGAGACCAAGCAATAGTGAGAATGGATCTCGAAATTCCGTCGTAAGGTTCGACGAGTCTTCTTTCTCTTGGATCTTGCGTTCAATAGCCTCGAGCAAGCGCTTACGAGCGGCTAGCATTGATAGACCTAGTACTGGAAAAGGCAATACACCGGACAAGTCACTGTTGATGTTTTTAGTACGGAATGTACTGTAACTCGTGGAAGTATCGACAGAGCGGCGTAGAGGGTAATTGGGCGACTTCAAGTTTGTACGCGATAAGACCTCCTGACGTCGCCATGGCATGGAAGAAAGAGTAGGAGGTGACATGAGAAGAGAAAAGAGGAATGAACTGAGCTTAATGGGAGGTAAGGAAGGTGAAGGAAGGAAGAGAGATTCACACGGCAAGATGACAGAGCGCACGAGCGCCAAGGGCAGATAGATATGTACGTGCTCAGTGCGCAATTGCAGAGTGATCGTCAGGTTTCCCTAGAATTGTAAACTACAATTATAGCCATAAGAATCAGATTTGACGAGAAAAAATGAAATCTGTGGCTGCTCTAAATCTACAAATCTGAACAGGACTACAAAAGAGTAACGTATCCGGTTAGGGTTACGTATGGTTTATGATATTATGATTGGTTCCAAAACATAATCTTGCCATTTGATTTGCTGAAAGTGCTTGTCGTCGTAACCACCCGACCACGATGTGTTCTTATTTGGGGATTTGACAGCAACTAACAAAGATGCCGAAGAATAAAGGTAAAGGAGGAAAGAATCGACGTCGTGGAAAGAACGACAATGATGAGAATAAACGTGATCTGGAGTTTAAGGAAGAAGGACAAGGTGCGTCTTCTTTTTATCTGTATCTGTAGGGTTTGATGTGATACTATCATGTACATTCAATTGAAGTGAAAGAAGGTGTCTAATGTATACAATGTATACGTTTCTGGATAAAATGTATACAGAATATGCACAGGTCGTACGAATGCTGGGCAACGGTCGTCTAGAGGCTTACTGCTTTGATGGCGTGACGCGCTTAGGTCATATTCGTGGCAAGATGCGTAAGAAAGTGTGGGTCGGTGCAGGCGACATTATTCTCGTGAGTTTGCGCGAGTATCAGGACGGCAAGGTGGATATTATTCATAAATACAATGCTGACGAGGCTCGTAGTCTCAAAGCGTATGGAGAACTACCAGATAATGCACGCATCAATGAGACAGCCGTGGATATGGCTATGGAGGGCGATGGCGAGGACGATATTGGCTTTGATTTTGACGACATCTAAGCGGAACAGCAGACAGTAAAACGACGTGGCTGCTGTGCGATAAGACTGAACGCTCCATGTTTAGTCCAAACTGGGAGAGATTGAGAGAAACTAGTGGCTTGATATCTCATAATCATATCTGCCAGTCGCTGCTATTAGGATAGCTAGATGGGGCAAAGAGGAGGAGAAAAGTGCTCGATCGGATACGCAAATAGAGCGCGAGAGCACCGACGGCAATGCGATGTAATCAATTGGTGGCTTGAAAGTTGTTTGTGTCTGTGCAATGTGTGCGTTGTCAGGTGTGTCGTATATGTCTTTGCAGAGGTCCGAAAGCTGGATGATTGCTCCAAGATAAGAAGCTGTAGATGTGAGTCCATCGTGGAAACATTGCAGCGAGAGTTGAGTGGACATCGCGAGTAAAGGTGGCGAAAGCCGTGCCGTTCTCAACCACTGCCGCTCCTTGCATTGCCATGCAAATAAACACAAAAGGGTAGTGGCACTGTCAAAGATCTGTAAGCTCTAGTAGCAATATGTTACTAATTCTTTCCATAATCCCGCTATGAAGTCACATTTGGTAGACTTTATTGTTACTTTTACAAAGTACCACTAAAACTCCACCTTATGTCACGTAACAATGTCCACCACCTGCTCTTTCCTTTCCGCAACTTGAGATCAAAGATTGTGCAACATAATCTTCTCCCTCCCTTTCGATTCTTTTTCATACACTCAAATCTCAATATTCCAAGTCGTAAGTAAGTCCTGAAGTAGTAAAAGTAGCAATCGTTAACACTATGACGAAAGAAGGAATTCAGGAAGAATTGTATCTAAAACCTGGTGAAATCGATGCAGGTACTTCAATCATTGCCGTACGATTTAAAGGAGGTGTTGTATTAGGTGCTGATTCACGTACATCAACTGGTATCTACGTGGCAAATCGTGTGAGTGATAAGCTCACCCCACTTCATGATCGTATCTTTTGTTGCCGATCGGGTTCCGCAGCTGATACACAAGCATTAAGTGATTATGTGCGTTATTATTTAAGCTCACATAGTATTGAACTTGGACAGTTACCAAAAGTTACGACAGCTTCAAATCTCTTTCGTTCTCTCTGTTATCATAACAAAGATCGATTACTAGCTGGGATTATTGTAGCTGGATGGGACCCTGTTAAAGGTGGTCAAGTGTTTTCAATTCCTATTGGAGGGGCAATGATAGAACAGGAATTTGCAATTGGTGGAAGTGGTTCAACGTACATTTATGGTCTTGTGGATGCTGAATACAGGTGAGATTTGAGTCTAGATTGAGAGAGAGAAGGTCTACTGTCTAGTGTCTAATGGATTTGCTCTTGTGTATGTATTTTATTTCTTCTCTCTGTTGTTGTTGTTGTTAGATCGGATATGACAATGGAAGAATGTCAGATATTTGTCAAGAAAGCATTGGCACATGCCATGGCTCGTGATGGGAGTTCCGGTGGAGTGATTCGAACGGTTACGATTACGGAACATGACGTCGTACGTGAATTTACGAGTGGGGATGACTTGCCTTTTTCGATTTAGAAAGAATGATCAAGTGTGACATTGATAGCAACAACAAATTACACGGTGAAATGAAACAGGATGCGAGACAAGGTTCAATTAGGTCGTGATGTATGATCAGATGCTGGACATTTCTTTTTGTTAAGGAACAACAAGGTGTTGCTGCAGTCAATCACTTGTTCTTTTTGTTGCTGTCGGTTGTTGTTTTTGACTCTTTTTACTGCAGTGCCATACTGTGATGAACGATCTTTTCCATATATAGAGCTTGATTTCTTGAAATACTGGCAATAGAAACTTAGACAAAGAGGTTATCCATGGCCGCAGCGCCGCCACGCGCCTTTTGTCGCTCAATTTCAGCGGCACTAGTAAGGTCCTTCATTGTAATCACGCGTCTGGTCTCTTCGCGTAAAGCTGCACTGGCAGCAGCACGGAACACGGCGTCACTAATTGCCGTACTGCTCAGATCGTAGCGTTCGGCTAGACGCTGGAAATCAATGGGCTTTTTAGTCTCCAGTGGTGCCTTGGGAGGAAAACATGCACGCCATAACTTCTCACGAAGCTTCGCGTTCGGATTACGCATCTCCACGACAAACTTGAGACGACGGCAGAACTCCGACTGTACCAGTGACGAGGACGTAGATCTGTCCACATTTGCCAGCAAAATGGTGGTGCTTGGGAATGTGTTCATCAACTCAAGAAGTCGCATGACCTCCATGCGAAAGCGAGGCGACGACTCCAGGTTATCGATAGGGATGACGCCTCCTTCAATGTGGCTGCCAAAGGACTCAAAACCAGTAAGCACCAGAACGGCATCCATTAGACGGGCATCGTCAAACACGGCCCGCAGTGCCTTGCGAGTCTCAGCGGCCGAGTCGGCTGCCAGCTGACCAAAGTTGACTACCTTCAGCGGCCTGCCAATCTCAAAACCAATACTCTTGGCAGCATTGAGCTTGCCAATACCTGCCGGACCACAGATCAGCACACTTACACCTTTCTGCTGCTTGTTAGACTGACCAAAGTCGAACCCCCACTGCCCGTAAATGACACTGCGTGCTTTCTCAAACTGTACAACTTGGCGCAGTTTTTCCTTTACTGATTCCTCAACAATAAGCTCATCCAATCCGCTCGTGGGCACAACACGGTGATCAAACGTCTTCATATGCAGGCTACCGCGCATTTGCAGCGCACAGCCCTCCACAATGTCAGCTTGCGAGATCACAGGTGATTCACCATTTCGTGAAATGGCCTTGAGGAGGGCAGACAGGATGGCATTCTTAATGAAGCCGCCACTAAGCTCATACTTCAGAGCGATAGTGTCCCAGTCAATACTAGGCTCAGCTTGCATAGCCCCACGTACCATAAGCACATCCCATATCTTTCGCCGCTGAATATGGTCCGGTGCCTTAAACTCAAACACAGCAGTGATACGACGATGCATGGCCTCATCGAGATCGAACGGGCGATTGGTCGCAAGAAACACGATGCCTTCATAACGCTCAATCTCAGTAAGAAGAGCATTCAGCAATCTATCCCCTCCACCGTCACGTTGACGAAAGATGTTCTCGCACTCGTCAAAGAAAAGCACAGCATTGCTCATGTCGGCTTCACGAAAAAGACCACGCAAGTCCGCATCTGGCTCTGCGCCTTCCTGGCGCTTTCCATGCAGAGACGGAAAGTCCACCAAAAGTACACGCTTCTTAAGGTGATGCGCGACAGCGTTTACTGTCATGGTCTTACCGGTACCACTAGCGCCACAGAGCAATAACACCAGACCAGCACCATATGCCATCCCTGCTTGCTCTAATCCACTTTTCTTGCGGTATTGCCGGAAACTTTCGTAACTCTCCACGGTCTCTAATATAGTGCTCTTGTGCTCTTCAGGCAGCACAACCTGGTCCAGCTGTACCTTAGGAGTGTACAAATCCGAGCCTTCCACTAACTCATTCATCTCTGTGTCTAGACCAACCACCCAATCCAATACACGGCGGTCTAGTTCAACGCGCTGATCAACAAGGTCTCCTGCTGTCGAATGCCAACGGCCCCGGTGTAGCTTAACAAGACCGCGAGTAAGTAGACGGGAAGACTTGTAAAAAAAGACACGGTGCGCTACTTGCTCCTGAAAGGTATCGCAAAAGATCGATAAAATCTGGTTGATAATCACACTTTCGTCCATGCGCTGCACTGGAGACGTATCCACACCGTCAATCAAGTTCTTGATCACCGGCGAAATGGTCTTGCCAATAAGCATTACAATCACATTTTGCTCAAATCGGTTCAGCTTAAACTTAGCAGCAAGCTCCTCTAGGCGCGGCAACGTATGACCAGCTTGCCGTGTGAGTGCCAATCGGTGCTGAGTGCGGCGACTGTATACCCGCTGCTTAGCCTTTAGTTCTCGTCGCCCGGCAGATGCTGGTGCTGACGTTTCCCACGGCTGCTTCGTACCTGCTTCCTTCATCTGATCCTTCACGCGGGCACCAGACGCGCGAATTGCAAATGCCACAACCTGGAATCGGTCCTCTAGATATTCAAGCTGATTGTCCGGGCTGTACGGCTTCAATTCGCTCGAATCCATAAGGGAAGAGAACAAATTGTGTTTGTCACTGACGGCCTCGGCCGACTTCAATAGCAAGTTGTTATCGGCATTCGCCTGACGCCCCGCGCGCTTACTAGTATGCTTGTACTTACCAATAAATGAAAACGCAGATGTACTGGAATCCTCGCATTCGTCATTGTCTCCCACGTCGCTGTCACTTGTATCGTGGTGTTTGGCCGTCTTTTTTTCTTCATGCTCTCCATCCACTTTCTCGCCGCTGCGATCGCGCTTGTGTCCGCTAAGATTCGAATCCGTCGATGCCGACGTCGGAGTAGTTGTCGTGTCCAGTATCTCACCAAAAGACATACCCTCTCTCTTGAGCAGTTCCTCCAGCGCCGTCTGACTTACTTTCAGTGCCTGATTACTAGTCAAATGTCGTCCTAGTAGTACACGCACGCATATATTCGACAAGGTCAGCGTAGTCGTGTACGACTCAACGTCCACAATGAGTGTGCCTTCTTTAACATGTTCACGCTCATCATCACGGAATTCCGCGACATCTACTTCTGAAAGTCCCGAGAGTCTCTGACATGTCAGACCTCTTCGTTGCATATCCTCATCGAGAATTTGACACCGTACAGCATTACTCTGACAGCCTTGCATGACTACAAGCAGCTGTAGAAGCATTGTTTCTTCAGTCGAGAGTTTATATATCTCTGCAAGTCGAAAGACTCTCGGTAGTCTTTTACCTGCTGTCTTTGTTGCTTCCAAGCGACATTTCGCCAAATCATCGAGATAGTTTTTGAATCGAGCCAAGAAATCCACACGTTCTTCCATGTCTTGACGATGGGACAGTGTCCTCTTCTCAACTGTCTCATCCATTGTGATCGAATCTGGCTTCGTGACACTCATGGAAAACTCCATAAAGGACACTTCATAGAGAAAAATGACCATAAATTGCATTTCCATGAACCAAAACCACTGTGCATCATTCTCAATGGTCAATTGCGTCTCATCCCGTGGATCCCGCTGCATCTCGAGCCAGAATTCACTTAATAAAGCACGAATAAAACGAAATCGACCCTCGAGATCCTTTACAAGAGGTTCATATTCCATTTGAATACGTTGCAATGTCTTGGAAAGCGCTCGTGTCGTGGTGTCTTTGATAGTAGAAGAAGAACCATTCTGATCCAGTGATTCAATGGCCTTGGACGTCGTATTTAAGCCGTTCTTTTTCGTACTTGCATGATTACGTCGACGTTTCGTTGGTGTCATAATGTTGAAACAAGTTCGTGGACTTGTCGAGAGGCAGCAAGACAATGGATAGATAAAGAAGACACACACGTCTGTGCCCTATATGGTTGGTTGGTCGCTTTGAAAAGCTTGGGGCACCAACCAGTCGCCGTCGGCAAAAGTACAGTAAATGTACAAATATGGATACTTAGTAGCAGATATCTATATATATAGGTTATTAGAATAGTATTTGTATTTATGTAATTGTTGCTGGTAAGCAGCAAAAACGTTTTTACTATTACTGTAAGGTTATTAGATTTAGAAGCGCTCTGTTTACTGTGGAGGTTTGTGTACCGGTATTTAGAGGTATTGAGGACTTGACCTCCTTTGATTCGACGAATTGGCACTTTGACCTTTATAAACATGAATACTAGTGGCTATCGAGGTAGCATGCTAAAACCAATCAACCGCATATAATACCGGCAATTTTCAGTAGTGTGTCAGATTATGTCACGTACATAAATGCTGCTATATCAGTAAGAAAAAGTGAGGATTGACATGGATACATTTAGAAAAAACTTACATGACAATAGCAATAACAATCGTACTAATAAATATCTCTAAATGATACAAACCAAAAACGAATAAGTTTAAATTTATGTTATGCGTGTGCGTCCTTGTATAAACTACTAACTGGCAAAAATCTCTCAAGGAGCTCACTGTAGATATGAACAAGATGCATCATTTAGGTAGAGCTACTAGACCCATTCATTTGCACAATTCCGACGAGCGTATTGTGGGCAGACATAGTCCCACATTTCAAATTCATCGCTATTTTGAGCCACGTTAGAGTCATTCGCGTACTCAGCACCTCGTTCTTGATCACTACCTCTTTCATTCTCAGTACCTTGGGTAATGATAGTGGCTGCTGACGTGGTAGTAGAATTCGTTGGTATGGGAATACTGTGCAAAGATTCGTCACTTTTTGCCATTCCAATCACTTCTTTTGGATAATGAGGATGAGGTGATGTGAAAAAATCACAGCAATTGGGTACCACGCAATGAACAGGAGCTGTGGGTCGTAGTCTTGGAAGCAAAGCTTCCGTCGTCGATATCGTCGGTGATGATGACGATGATGTTGATCCAGACTCTTCAGCTACGGAAAGAGACACAGATGGGCATCCTGATAGCTCCAATTGGTTCGTCATACATGTGGTGGTTAATTCAATGCATACTGAAGAAGAGTTGGAATAGCCTCGTTCGTTTGTATCTACGGCTTGCGATGTTGCCACCACCGAGTCAAAAGCTGGCGTACGCGGAGATGCAAGGAGGCAAGTATTGTTGTCGTCTTCCTCTTCTTCCACTAGTCTTATTAGCCTTGATGTTGACATACCAGAGCCATACTCTGATTCGGTCAGGGTCTCCGACATCCTCCAGTGATAGAAATGTGTTTCGTCCTGGTGCGGCTGCTGCTGTTTGTGTCGTTTCTCCAATTGACTCTGCTCAAAGCCAAACACTTTCACCGACAACCTCAAGCTGCGTGCTGACTCTGTTTGACAACATGACGAAGTCGAGCGTTCGCCATGGTTGCCGTAATACGGACCCTGTTTGATCTTGTGTTCACGTGCGCCAGTTGCTTCAATTCGTCGTCGCTTTCGTGCTATCGCTTTCGTGTTTTCAGACAGTCGAATGTTCGAGTACTTGTGGATCATATTGTCTACAAAGCGTTGCGTCTTCCTTTCATAAAGGATACGCTGTAGACTCCACATTAAACGCGATACAACATATACGCTGCACCACAATAAAAACGTCGTTCCTCCTATCTAGTCCCACAATAGCACACTACGAACGCTTTGTCGGATGCAGGAGGTTTCAAAAGTAACCCAAAATCAACGATCGAAAGGCCACAAAGCGAGCGAAAGCTCGTTTTTCTTCTAAGAAACCCTAGCGTAGCATGCACTAGCGATAAAAAAATTCAGTTGCACAAAATCCTGACGCCAGTCTAGAGCTGCATCGACGATGCAATGATGGAGCAAAACAATGCCAGTGACCGTTTTTACGTGGCATTACATTTCGCAACGCGTGACAAGTGCGTGAGAGGGGTATAAATCACTCGATAGAGAAGAAGGTCTGAACGACCGCTACCGAACGCATGACTGACTTTCTGACATTCGTTTTATACAAATACATCAGGTCACGATCTACCAAGTAAACTTTGACGACACAGCGAGGGTGGCGGAACAACAACATGGTAAATGTCCTATGGACACTTTGGATGAACGACCAAAGTTGTGAAATATACTCTATTATCATTAGTGATCCAACCATGTCACGGCTGCTGTTTTCAAATGTTCCAAGCATGGGATCTACCCCACAATGCCGCAGTATAGACAACACGCAACGACTAGTCTACATGATGCACGACAAATGAAGAGTGAGTTGAATCAAGTAGCTGTAGAGTGGCCATATTAGTACGGCACTGTAATGTCGAATGAAGGATTAAAAGTATTCAAAGCAGGATTGAGGAATGAATGAAACCAGGGGTTCTTTGACGAAAATGCTATCGACCTAATCTCGAGGTAACGGGTCAACACCGAGACTTGCAACTGTAGCAAGTGCTCCACACGCATGTCACTTGTTTCAATGTCTTTTTATCATCATCCCAGGTCGAAGACCTTTCATTTGACTCATGAATCGGAAGAACATTCAAAGTATTAGACAAGTCTTTCAACAAGACCGAAACCAAGAAAGGACGCACATCTCACACGATTTTCACTTTCAAACTCTGAGATTCACTCGATTCTTTGCTCATTAACACCTAGTAGCATGGTAATGTCTGATTCTATGCTTATTGCTTGCTTTACACATACACACACTTACTTACTGTTAACCTTTTTCTTCTTCTCGTACAAAAAGATACCCACTACCATAGCAGATGCTGGCACCAAGGCGCATAAATGCTTTAGCAATCCTAAATTACTCATCACGTACCTTTGGTTTAGTACCATGTTGTTTGGCTTTATGTATGCGATAGCTGCTATTGTAGCAGCTGTGAATAATGACGGTGAAGGAGAGAGTGATTCAAAGTCATTGGGCTTTGTAGGTGTTTGGGCTATGATTTTAATTGTCGCTCTCTCAGTAGGAGGTACTATGGTCATGCGTAAACACCAGACACCACTAGCTGTGGGGTTTCTCATTGGCGTTGTCCTGATGATGTCATTGCAAATGTTTTCATTGTCAATTCTCTTTGCTGGTGCCGCTTACTTGGCTCGTATGGAACGTGCTAAGGGCAATGAGCATACGAATGTGCACTCAAATGAAGCTGGTTCGGTCTTTTCTTTCTTTTTGTTTATTCTCTATGTAAGTTATTGTCATTATTGTCATATTGTGATTCTATTGCTCCTCTATCAACTGGTTGACTAATGAATGGCTGTCTTTTCTAGACTATCTTCACGATTGTGCTAGTCCGTTATCGTAATATTGTCATTAAAGAAGGTGTTAATTTAGACCCCAAAGCTATAAACAACAACATGGACAAGCACTTTACAGGAACGAATGGAAATATGGCAACGTCCATGACAGCGACGTCTCCACGTATCATCCGCACAGATATCAATGTTCCCATCTCCCTTGCCTCAAGCGTCAAAGTTTAAATGCACATACTGTGCCAACGATCTCATGCGCCATTCGCAATAATAACAATACCACGAAAAAGTATTGCAATATACGAATAACAATGAATTGATCCAACTTTTACATTCTGTAGCCATTCTCTTGCCGCCAAATAAGTATCATTCTAAAAAAAGTGACAAAAGATACGTAAAAGTAAGCCGTTTCCCGTCACTTATGACCTACACAAGGATTACTTTTCATCACCTCCAGCAGTCCACTTTCGTCTCACATTCCCCAACAAACCCAATTACCATCATTCCAAATGGGTTTTCAACTTGACACAATCAAGGCCGGGTATGTCTGTATCAATCAATATATAGATTAACCGAGAAGTTACTAATAGTATCTTCTTTTCTATTATATATAAAATCCCAGCGATGGTGTTCATTTTCCACAACAAGGTCAGACGGTCTCAGTCCATTACGTTGGGACCTTAACAACTGGCTCCAAATTTGATTCCAGTCGTGATCGTGGACGTCCATTTCAATTTCAATTAGGTGCTGGTCAAGTCATTCGTGGATGGGATGAAGGTGTTGCTAAGATGAGTAAAGGTCAAGTTGCGAAACTGACATTACCTCCTGATTATGCCTATGGAAAACAAGGATATCCACCAGTCATTCCACCTGAAGCGACGCTTATTTTTGAAGTCGAGTTATTGTCTTTTACTTAGATAATCTATCCAGACGACATGTCTTTTTCCAAGAGATTTTTCTTCGATAAGGAACATGGAACAAGATAACTAGACTCTCTTTCATCTCCTATCTCTTGTCTGTGACGTGCTTCTACTTTTTCATTTGCATTACCACTACTCTAGATCACACAAGGAACAATAAGATCGTTAGTCACAAAAAGCTCCATACGTCAACAGTTTCAATGAGCACTGGAGTCTCAAGACATATGTCACAATGTTATCTCTTTGTCTGATGATGATCATCTAATGATAACTATACCTTCATCTTCCTTCTAGATATGTTTCATCCTCAACGTTTCTCCTATTTCCATCGACTCACCAATGCCTCGAAGCATTCACATATCATCTACCTGCTTCTCCTTCAATCATGGCTACATGCCCTTTCACAGATAATTCGTGATGGTCGCATATATATTATTCCAATCCATTTTGAAAAGCCTCGACATTGTCAAATGGACTTTTGCCAATTGCTACGCGAGGAACGAGCACGAGCACGTGAAGCTGTGGGAAGTACAAGAAGATCCGTGATTCATGATAGTAAAGCACCCGGGAAGAAGACAAGAGAGCAAGAAGAATTCATTGCATCATTGTGGCTAACTCTGTCCTTGAAAGTCTGGACGAAAAGGTAAAGAATGAGACGTCATCTCTAATCGAGAAGGGCAAGTCACACGTTGTGTGTCCTTTGTTTTGCAGGTCCAAGCTTGACATTGGAACGTTTGCCAAGGGTCCAATTCCTGGCGTGTATTATATTCCCAATTGGATCACACCCGATGAAGAGAAGGCGATTTTGGAACGGGTATATGCGATTCCAGACGACAGTGAATTGTGGGTAAAGCTCAAGCATCGCCGTCTGCAAATGTGGGGAGGTGAAGTGACGACCCCGTTTATTCCAAAGCCATTGCCTCAATGGCTAAGGCAGATCAGCAAAACACTTGTTGAGATCGGGGTCTTTACGGAAGACAAGCAGCCTAATCACGCATTGATAAATGGTGAGGACTAACCTGGTATCATCGTAATGACTGACGGATGGACGCTTGTTTGATTAACAAGTGTTAACTACTGATGCCTAGAATATGGTGTGGGGGATTGTATCCTGCCACATGAGGACGGACCTGCCTACTTTCCTCTCGTGTCGATTATCAACACTGGTGCTGACTGCCGTGTTACGTTCAAGCGGCATCGTGAAGCTGACAATCGGATTCAGATCAAGTCGGCATTGGAAAGAGACAATGGTCGACACTTTGACTTTCAATTGGAACGTCGTAGTCTATTGCTGTTTACAGGGGAAGCGTACACGCGTTATCTGCATAGTATCGACAACATTGAAGTGGGTACGCGTATCTCACTAACAGTTCGCCACGTCGATCTCTACTAATCTTGACAAGTGAAGAAGAGATGTCGAAAGAAGGAAGCATGTTGACCCGTGAAAACGTTTTGTAAGCTGCAAGGTGCAGAAACAAGTTGTTGACGTCTCGATTGTATTCAGATTGTATTCGTGCTTTTAGTAGCGACGTGCTACAGCTCAACCCTTGTTTCAGTCATTGACTTCCTTTCGGACTACCCGTTCGCTCGTTGTTTACATTGCGCGTGAAATGCTCGAGAAAACCCTGATAAGCAGCCATGATCCAAGCCTTTCCCATCATCGCCTCAAGTAAGTCAACATAAGAAACCAGGGCAGGAGATTTAGCTGACGCCGAAGGAATTGAGATACTAACTGCTGAAAGGTACGGGTGGAAAACCAGTGTTGTCATATACTTTGGCTGATCAAAACGTCTCCGTGCTCGTGCATTGATGACCGCCATCTCAAAAAGCAAAGCAAGCTAGAGCGATACATGGCCGACGACTTCTAGCCTGTACACCTCATTCGGTACGTTAACACTGCATCGCTTGACAAAGTGTTGTCACTGGCATCTTGTAGCTGATCTGCTCGCGTGAATGATATCATCCGCGAATACGACGATTCTCTGCGATATCGTATGCTTACCACCGCCATCATGAATGCAACTGGCAGCCTATTGCATACAATCTCTTTCTTACCGACGTATGCACCCGTTTAATGCTGCTAGTGAAAGCAAACAGGAACACAAGCTGATGATACGGTAGCAGGTATGGCTGGCGGTCACAGCATGTGGTTTTCGTGTGCCCAATAGTGAGTGTATAGTGGAATGACGGTATTTGACTGCACTGCAAGGCTACTCAATAAATTGAGAAGCATCGCCATTGACGATGGACGTAGTGATCGCGTGAAAGTCATGTCCTCATACTGCGCACGATATGGAAGCAAGTAACGTGCAATGATAAACAAATAGACCGGAAACCATGTCTATATTGAACCGTACATGCAAACTTCCTGATCGCTAGTTCACGCAAGCTCTTGGATGAACTGAGTGAGGCGCTTGCAAACTATTCGACATGTAATCATGTCACCGTCAGTGGACACTGCTCGAGCTACGACAGCATTCTTGTAGCCACATTACATTATTGGTAGGAATAACGGCTCCTCCTGCACAAACGGCAGCGCGGCGATTTTCTGGCACATCAAGCGCACCTTGGACAACAGCGACGTTTCTGTGGTGACAACAAACTGAACATTGGCTCGGTCGACGATCGGCGCCTGCAAAATGGAGTAGATGGACACACCATTCTCCTCGGCAATCTGACCCACGTGACGAATAACGCCCAGACCATCGGTTATTGTAATACGCACGTAAAAGTGCGCTTCATAGTCAGACTGCAGCGTTAGCGGCAATGATTTCTTGAACGGGTCAAGTGGGGCGTCGCCACGCGCCAGCTGAATAATATCGTTCATGACGGAGTTTGCAGTCGGAAAACGTCCAGCACCCGGGCCCACGTACGCACTGCTGCCCAAATTGTCCGAGCGTACATTTACCAGATTTGTTGCACCACTAATGCTTGCAATAACGTTGTTGCGGTTAACAACAACAGGCGACACGTAGACTGCCACCTCTTGGGGCGTTCCCGTGTTTTCATCCTTAGGTTTGAGCAATTTGGCTACACCAAGTAACTTGATCGTACTGTCCATCATTTTAGCGTATTCAAAGTCAGCAGACGAGATGCGTGAGATGCCGACAGTCGGAATATCCACTGGCTTGACAACGCCACCAAAGCCCAATTTCGTCAAAATAGCAATCTTGCTTTGTACATCGTAGCCATCAACGTCAGCACTCGGGTTTGCCTCTGCGTAGCCTAGATCCTGTGCCTCCTTTAGTACCACATCATACGCTACACCTTGAGTTTCCATCTTTGACAGCATGTAATTCGTCGTGCCATTCATGATACCAGCAATCTCAGTGATAATGTCACTACCGTATGCGTCCTGAAGTGTGTGAATAATGGGGATACCACCAGCTACTGCAGCTTCATAGCCAAAACGCACATCTGGATGATCCTGTAATAGCTGCACGATCTCTGGCATACAATTCGCCACAAGTGCCTTATTGGCCGTGATCACGTGTTTACCGGCCTTAATTGCACCAAAAACCACATCCTTTGCATCATCTATACCACCCATAAGCTCTACAATACAATTAATGCTCTCATCCTCCAAGATATCACTATAACTGCTCGTAATCGTGGTTTCCAAAGCGGAAAAATGAACCAACTGCCGGTCTTTGCTCACATTCTGGACGCAGATCTTAGATACAAGTGCATTCACACCCATTTGCTGAAGCATTTGACGTCTTATGGGGCTATGCAATAGATCAAATACACCACCACCTACTGTACCACAGCCAAATAGACCGATGTTAAGAGTTACACGCGTCATAATGAGGTGAATTCGATGATCTGAACGTTCGAAGTCGATTCCAAACTGACGTCTGACGGGAACGGATACTAATGTTGCGTATGCTTTGCGCAAGCGGTAGTTGGGCAACACAAATATGGTATTCATATCATTCTGCACCATAAGCTAGTAATACCACATTTCGACATTTCGCATGAGATAAAAATGCTTTTAGTCTTGGTTTTTAGCAATTTAGGATATATTTATACATGCGTCTTAACTGTGGTTGGATACACCGACAAAGCAGGAAGAAAGTCAACATGTGACACATTTGCGTGACAAGTCACAGCTCATTCTCAGACCGAACGGACGATTCGAACTGAACCGAACAATGTCGTTTTTGTCCTCCCTCGGGTTTACGACTCGCGTCTTGTCGTGTGATGTTTCTTGCCCATCCACTCGTTCTGCGATCAGATTTATCGACGCTCATGCACGTTCGACAACAGCTGATAATCTCTAGCTTTTCTGGACTGAGACTCGACGGATACGAGGTTTTGTCGCGCAATCGACTTTCCCTTACTACTTACTCCCTGAAACGTCGCCAGTATCGGTTGTAGTGACGTCGCTCTTGACGACGACACGGATGTTCTTGGCCACAATTGTTTGAGGTTGATCGACTACGGACCTTCAAGCCAACAAGGATTTTGTAGTCGGAACTTGCGGCTGTCTGTCTCCCTGGTGACTCTTGAGCTAACCAGCACCGATATCCTGACGTCAAGACTCTGTCCATCATAGACAAGCCGTCATCAGGGTAGATCTCGGACAAAGTCTAGACGTCAAGTAAAGCTTTGTTCTTGACGCTGGAAACGATGTGGTTACTTTCAGTTACAATACCTAATGTATGTAGAAGGAGCTCGTAGTAAGTATCCAGCGGCTGGTAATAAATACCTTTCATTAGCTATGACACGTCCATCGGAAGCGTGATCCGCGCGAGAGTGATGTGTTTGTATATTGAAAGATATGTGATTGATTAAGAAATGAGGTCTGATGGACCAAAGTACATCACGACGCTTTCTTCCCTTCAATCTCAAAAAAGAGATTGATAACTGTCTCAAAACGCATTCATTTCATAGAATTGTCGACGAGATAACTGTCTCAAAAACGCATTCATTTCATAGAATTGTCGACGTGCGCTATACCATTTGCTCCTCGACAATATAAGCAAGAAATTACATTATACGATAAGGAACTGGAGTGAGGCGAATAGAGCATGTCGTTTCAATCCATCTTGACCTGTTCTTGTAGAGGGAAGCATGTTGACACGTCTGTCACCGCGTTCCCTGCTAGAACCGATTGTATTGTGCTTAAATCTCTACGTTAGATGTAATTCCAAGTCACTTTTACGCTAATTCTGACTCGTCATTACAGTCTCAACTATCCGCCAATGAAGCCAAAAATCGAAAGATACCAGTAGTTTACCCATTTGGCATAAACACCAACAAACTGATAGTAGAATGATATGCGGGTCTTACAAGCTGCAAGTATAGTACACATAATGCATACGCTGATCATGGGTGGGGTGATCCTTATACTGTGGATATGACGTATCGTTTTGACATGATATGTATCTTGAGCAAATCTCACGCGATTGTAATGATTGCGCTCGAGACAGCTTGAAGATCCAAGCGTTGACAAAGTAGACGACTTTTCGAACGCTGCGACTTCATTATCGTGTGTCCGTGCCCTTTCAGCGGTGATGACGGCGCAGCGTTCAAAAAGTCGTCTACTGGGACACGTGAAGTCTTGTGCTTTGAATGGATTGCGCCTACAGATGCGCTTCAACGAGCGATTAACAACACGATTAATTACATTCTATGTTACACCTTTTACTGCAGTTTTGGGAAGAGTTTGAAAAAAGACCCATTTTTGGAATGGGACTAGCAATTACTTGTCTTGTACCAAAAACAAATCTACCAGGACCTTCACATCAAAGCATCGTAATCTTTCTTGTGACAGGGAGGCTTCGATCGTAGCTTAGTTCTCTTGCAAATACAATCGTCTATTTGCCTAAATGACTTGCAAGCGTCCGAGCCGACCAGAAGAGTCCCTTCGTTGTCCGTCAATATCAAAAAGCTTCACTCCTGTTTCTCGAATCGTACTTAACGTCATTGAGACAGTGCATGCTTTTTATCATCCGATCACGCCAAATCTGGCAATCCAAACAGAGAGATGTGATTACAGGGAGCGATTTTCGATAACCCTTTGCCTTGTTTTAAAATCATGAAACATCACATGTCGATATTGCTTTATCTTTCTGAGTAAAAGGTAGCAGAGCAAATAGAGGTGTAAACTTCTAAGATGTCAGCAGTCAATCATATTAAGATGTCATTCAGTTCGTCAGACTGTTTCCGGCACCTGCTCACTCGATTTGCCAGCGGAACATGCTTGGCAGCAGGTCAATTCTCGCCCATCATCTGCAATCAAGAAAGTAGGTCGCTGCAGCCGCTCTCTGGATGCCTCATACAGATGCAGGTGATATTTTGTTTCTTTCAAGTCAGGCACGCTGCGTTTACCAGCGTGTGTTATGAATACTAGCACATGTTAACGACGTATGTAGTTGTAGCCTAGTTTGTCGCTAAATGATGCTCATTTACCAGCAAATATACTAAACATAGAGACGAATATCGTCGTCACCGTCGTGGTTTGAGAAAAAAAGTTCACGCATAGTCGTCAACGCGGACATCATCGCATTCTTTTGACAGACTCTGTGGTCAGTGTGACAGTCAAGTTGCCAGCATTTTGGAATAGCTTGGCTGTCTGTTACACTGTCCACAGAGTCTGTCTAACGCATGGGTTGCACACGCAAAGGCTTTTTAGGCCGAAGATTCTAGTAAAATAGCAATTCGTAGTAGCTCGAAGGTCTTATGGATCGGCTTTTTTTATGGACGCATGGGCGGCAAAAACCCAAGACATGTTGTCTCGTCTGCACGCGCGTGCGCTGATTGGTAAAGCGGGGAAGCATACGGACCGCTTGTCATAGTGAAACGAAGATAAAGATACTGAACGCAAGTCATAGAAACCTGGGACCGTAGGGCAGTTGTGCAACGACAGACCAATCAAGAGAGCAGTCCCCGCCCTTCGTTTCAGGAGCTCTCGATCGATCGCTTCTTATTAATTCTATCATTTGTCAAAAGTCCATCTTCTTGTCAAAAGCTTATAGGTTTTTTACTATCCTTATCTCTCATCTACATTATTATTTTGTATTATTATTATTATTATTTTTTCATTATTACAAAATGAAGAACGGAGTTTCCACATTGAGCGCGACAGTATTAGAGGCACATGCGCTTGGTAATACCAAGATGTTTGACGTCAAGGTCTTTTGCAAAGGCAAGAGTATTTCAGTGTACAAGAGCAAGGAGGATTTCAAGAGTGTATTGAACATGTTTCGTCTTGTTGGTGCCATGAGTCGTGGCAAGAGTGATCGATGTGAGATCTGTGTCGCTTGTAGTACTATGAGTCCGCTGCGTGTATGCGACGAGGACTCTCTCGACACGTTTCTGGGCAACGTGCTGGCTAAATTGCGAAAGGCTAAACCTGACGCCATTGAGCAATGCAGTACGCACCGTGGTGTCGTGCAGATTCTCATGAATTTTCTCAATGTGCGCAATGGCAAGTACTTTTGTGAGCTGACGCCAGAAATGGAGAAAGAGTTATCACCCATGAGCAATCAGCAACAGGACGACATGGATTTGGAACATCCAGTATCAAGGTGCTCGCTCAATCGCACTCTGTCGGAGCAATTTGCAGCAAGCGATTCAGTATGCTAGCAATGCGAGAGCCCCCATTGTTACCCACATGTAAGCTCCCATATTCTACGATATAAACGCAAGTAAGGACGCCAAGTGATCCAAAAAGCATCCATCAAGCAGGATTGTCGATTGCTTTCTCTTTACTTGGACACATGGTAGGTCTTTGTTTTATCTGTTTTTTTACTTGAAAGAAATTGATGGTGCTACGATAGAAGACCTGGTTAGGCACTGCTCATTGACATTGACGAATTCCATGCGTATACTAAATAAAAGATTAATATAGAGAGCTTCATAAGAACGACGACGTTGTTGTGACTTTTCACCCACATATTTTCCATTGTAACATGCAGATCATAGCCCACGTGTTGGATGTCCACACAAGTATGCGCTGTCCAGATCATCGTCTTCAAGCAAGAACTAGCCTTCTTAGGCTTTTGCTACTTACTACCTGCAACTTTAATCAAGCTCGCAATGAAGAATGGTTACGCTTAGTGAGCTTGTGATTGATTGCTGTACGACAATGCATAAGCTGACAAAGCTTTGATAAAAAGGTAATCGAATAAGCTGCAGATATACAGTGAGTGTATTAATTTTTGCCTCGTCTCCGGAATACGTCCCACAGGCGCATGATGCTGAAGTAAACAATCATGCATTATCGTCAGGGGACAAGGATATTCATTATCTAAATGTTATACACTTCTGCTGATACTTCCTGCTGGGTGTTTTCTTTGCTGCTTTACCACAAATGATTCTCAGCCTCTGTTGCTCCCAAGTTTCTACCACATAACCACAATGTAAATACAAAGACACAACACTTTTGTCCGTTCTTTTGCAACAGTGCAAAAACCTACATATTCTTTCTGATGTAAGACCTCTATGATTTCTGTGCGCGTCCTGTGCTGAGGACAACAATATACGTATTCGTTAAGAACTCGTTCGTGATCAAAGGTAAGACCCATCTCCCGCTGCACTTACTGCACCATGGGATAGAGACCTTGCTTAGTAGCAGTAGTCAAGGTAACAAACACCTTTTACCTGGTGTCTAAACTTTTGATGGATGTAGCAGTTTCATCCCAGGTACTACGTAACGATTTAGCACGAAGGGGTATTCAATAATTCTTACAATTTCATATATTGTGTTAATTTAATACAACACAAACCTCTTGTAGAATGCATTCTATACTAAGACAAAAGACGGATCATTGTGATTGAACATCACCATGCGACCGGTGCGAAAGACATTCAGGTAGCCCAGAGTGATGCAATAAGATCTGAGTCCAGCGAGTCAGAAAAAGAGCAATGCAATCTTTTTTTGTCCAAACACGGACGTAATATCACATTCTCTTGGTCGTTTTTTCATTCAATCAAAGAAAAGCTTTTTTTGTCAGTACTATTTTTTATTGTCAATTTATAAATATGGTGATACATGATGGGCTGCTGGAAAGGCCTGAGAAGCAGTCAAGATGCTAGGAAAAATCTTGGATGTTAGATATAGGATGCAACCAAAATTTTGGAGAGAAAATCAAGTGTTTTCAAAGAAACCTCGAGATCTTGATGATGGACATTGGACCGATTCTACACCAGATAGATCGCTCTTGCTCATCCGGTCTTTTGTGAAGCAGTAGGATAAAAAACAGACAGAACATGCTAGTGGAGTGCATAAAACATACAAGCTGTAACTGCTAGAGCAGCGTGAGTACTGACTACACTGGATACTGCCCATTCTATTAAACAACGGGAATAAAATTTACAAACAACGATTGACAAATGGAAGGAGTACAATTCGACAAAAAGAATTCTTACACAGCAAATTACCAATGCGTTGTCTTTGCAGGAACAAATAATTGTGTCGAGCAGTCGTATGGCATTCCAATGCCATAAAATGCAAAAAGATCTCTCTCATGTGGGTTGGTATCGAACCCAATTGAATTAATATAGCAAACATACATGTTCAAGTTGAAAGTGGATTTAGGGCTTGGTTGTCTGCCTTTCTGCCTCGATACAAGTTAGAGCCAGTAATGGACCTGTCGCCATGACTGACTGGCTACAAACTTATTGATTGTAGACAGCGTGAGAAAAGTGAAGATAACGTGTACGTTTGTTTGTGAGGACGGACTGAACAGTCGATGGCATATCCATGAAGTAGTTAATGGATATTGCCGACATCTATATCGATCTGTTGTTGTTGAGACAATTCCGGTAGTGAGAAGCAAGACACAGTATGGCGAAGGAAACAGTTGCGAGATTACAACATGTAGAGAGTAAACCCTGATTATTAACAACGAATGTATCCCTGGATACTTGTGTTTGAATGCATGTTTACTTACCTCCGAAATGTCTGCTGGAGTAATGTGCAGCCTAGTGTTGGTTTGTTGCGTGAATTTTCTCTTATGTAGCAACGACTGTTTATGATGGAGCATCAATGGAAGGTGGCATAGAATGTCATTGTTATTTTGTCCAGATAGGCCTTCATGGTGAAGCGAGATGAGCAGGGTCGCAGTAAACGATTTGGGCTCGCTTTGTGATCAAAGACTTGAAGAAATGGCTCAGGATTTGCTGTTTGGAAAGCGAGTGCGTCGAATATGATCGTGCAGCTGTCTATCATGACATGTGCTTGCATTGGGTTGCGGTGGTGGACTCGTGCAGAAGAGTTGAGAGTCGGGCGCTTGCCAGTGTTGAAATTGCACGTGTTGTACGCATTGTGGAGCTTGATCACGGACAACGTCGCGTGTCAATCTTTTAGTATCAGTGCTTTCATTTTGAGATGCGGATACCCTGCTTCAACCAACGTACTGTTTTACAATGTCGAACATCTGTGCCAAGGCCTGATCCAAAGTGACCTGACAAACAAACTCGGAGAAATGTGTCTCGAAGACAGTGGAACCACAGTGAATGATGGTCCACGCGCTTTGCTGCGTGACAGCAAATACGAGCAAGCGCACGAGAACCAGCTCGTGGTCTGGACATCTCTCACTTTCAGCGTGCTGCACACACTGACAAAAGGCTAAGTGTACGGCTTATGGAGGAATAGGTAAACGCGTTCAGTGGGCACGTGGGAAAAATATGAGGGTTTTTGCCAGTAGCAACAAATTTATGTGCAGCATACGTCTATCAATTGGAGCGCAGAAATTAAACGAAAGCGAGAGCCACTTGGAAAGGGGACACACAACATGCAACGTTCGTGCATTGCTGAAAAAGTTGTCAAGTTGCCATTGACATATATATGCTGAAGAGTATGGAATGTGTTAAGAGGGCCTATGTGCTGCTAATTAAGATATGGAAAAGGATCGTATTCAATTACCTTCGTTAAACAAAGGAATCGCATTGTTTGTCTAGTGTGAAGGTATCACAGCGTGTCCGATATCGTATGGTGTGTGACCGACAACCGGTCATTTTGCTCATCTTGAATAGCTACTATTTTCTATAGCTGCTCAGGTTTGTGAGAAGGCGTTTTACAGCCGCAACAGTAAATGCACTAGCATTAAGAACGGTGCAAGAAGCAGGCAAAGCCAAGTTAAAACTGGAAGTCATGTGCATTAAACTACTCTAGGACGAAGACAGGAGTCATTTCAACACAAGATGGAGCCAATTGAAACAATAATAAATACATTAACACATTTCAATACAAATAGCCACTTGAAGCAATTAGAACCTTGCTAGTCTTGAGACGGGGATACAAACTCAGCGTATTTAAGGTAAACTGCAGGATACGCTTGTTAGTATTCTGGAGTAAGTTTTGCGTTTGCGTAAAAAGCAAACATCATTGCTCCCATCGACCATGCTAAGATTTACCTATGGGACTCTGTCACCAACAATCAAGCTACTGCTATTGCAACATCAAACACAGGAAACTTAAAGTCCACGAAAAAGAGCACTATCCTGAAAACGTCATACAATCAGTTGAATGCAGAAGTGGCTGCAATATGTTAGCGTCTTCAAGCGCATGCGGCAGGACGTTGGTATCACTTCGCTCATTTGCGGCTAGTTCAAAAACAAACAATCATAACAATCTCGGTGTTTGCGAGTTGCTCACTAGCAACACGGTTCCAAGTACGTCAGCCAATATATGTGCGTTCAATTACAGCAAAAGTAAACAACCCTGTCAGACCAAACTTTTGGCTGAGCGCTCTTTTACTGGTACCTTTTCTAACGTCATATTGCGCGGTAACATGGTCAGCATGTTAGCGTGGCTGCTGGCACGTGCTCGAAAGCGTAATCCTTAAAAGATACGCCTACAGCTTCAGTCTCATTGAGCTTTCAGTGCTGGATGGTGCTGAGCATATAGACGCATTATATTGCTGCGATAAGTCTCTGAAAGTATAAATAAGCACTTGCTTGTCATTATTGTAGCTTTAAGAGCCGACCACCCTGTTTTGCATAAGAAGAAGCTATTTAGGGCAATAGTTCAAGCACTGGTGACGTATTAGTAACAACAGGATAAACGTTACTCCAAAATTGCCAGCCTTTTGGTTGCTGTTTAATGAAATCTGCCGTAGAATCAGCAATGCTACGTTGCCGCCTTTGAGTATGGTCTCGTTAATGCAGTGGCGACTACCTAAGACTGCAAATAGGAACATTATTTATTAGTTTGTGTCAAGCCTTGAGACATGTAAAACCAGCATAGCTATCGTATTCGATAAGTAGTAGCAATAATGCTTCTTACGGTTTTAGATAACTTTAAAGAGTATCTTGCAGACTCGTATCTCTAGACTGAACTGTTGGAGTTGAAAGAATCGTGGCTTGCCTTTCGAATGTGATTTCCACGACGCTGTGGACTGTTTCACTTTCAGCCCAAACATGATAAGAGTCATTGCCAATAAGTTTGTCCACGACGATTCTGTACAAAGCAAGGCTTTCGACGAGCTTTTTGCTACATCCCGGTCGAAATTTAAGATGAGTTTACGCCTTGCGCTGACCAGAGCTTTTTGATCTTTTTCGACGGCTTTTCCGCTTGTCTGAGTTGAGAACGATCGAATCGTAGCTAGTGACTGAGCAACGTAACAAATTGAAGACATCGCATTCAGCATTTCTTTATCCATACTCAGCTGTTGGTGGTGAATGAAACGAGTCGAGTTACGCCTACACTGATAACAGTGTAAGCGACTTGCTTCAATCCTCGACCTTTTGCTTTTTCTACACGGACTACTTCTTCCTCCACCCGCAGGCAGTTTATCCCCCGTCACCACATTTGTGCGTGACTGAAGGTATATGGCGTCTGCGTATTTCTTTTCGTTCGTGTAGTTTGTGTGGTGGCTGCAGGTGCTCCAGCAATGGTTACATATCGGTTCCGGCCCAATAGCATCCTATCCTAGTACATCGTTCCGACGCTTCTTCTATCACTTTCATGCTTTTTCAAATCCTCAGCACAGTGTGAGGCAGATAAAGGAAGCGCTCAAGTAATTGAGTCCGTTCACTTTTGGAAAACATGGGACATCAATTTATTTAAGTCTAAAAGAAGCAGTCATGACCTTGAAAACTAGATAGTTGAATACAAATGCATTTATTGAACTCTACTTGCCTCATTACGTGACTCCTGTTGATTGGTAGTATGTCGGTTGATATCATGATCAATATCAACCAATTGAGTGATGACATTTCCTAATTGCATCATGTCCTAGTTCTAATTAATTAGTTCGATTCAAATCCTAACCAGATATTTAGGTGAAACGTCGTAATTGAGCTTATGGCTACAACATTGATTTTCCAAGACGTTTAACATACAATACCTCGCAATGTCCTTTGCAACTCTTGTGCCATCGTTTGTGAGCAGCATTGTTATCTTAGTATCTCCAGCTCGTGCTAAATAGCACATTACCTCAATATCAACTTTGACATGGCTTTAGTTTTGCTCTATCGTTTTCAGCCGCCTCTGCTTCTACTTACATTACCATGTGTTACGATATGTGTAAGCAATAAGCACTCTTGTCTTGGTAGTGTAATAAGGTTTAACAAATAGACACAGACAAAAAAGTAGCACCGTGTCGTGCACATATGGTGAGGTCCAAAGTCACGAATAATGAATGGTATTGTCGTTCACAAGAGCAAGCTTGAATTATACTGAGTTGTGTGATCTAAACTCGGGATTCGTGTACGTGTAAGCGTACCATCAGTTAATCTTGTGCGCTGACGTTGCATTGTGCGTGGCCACTTCGTCGATCCGCTGCAGGAATGAGGTTCTTGTCTGACTTGATCAGCATCCATCAGTTTAGTTTTCACGTCGAATGCTGTTGATCGTGTAAGGTCAGCAATGCTTTACAACCAGGTCAAAGGTTGGTTACCGTGTGATCAAACCCATCAGGGTATGATAGAGTTATACTAATCAAGTCAATTGTAGGCGAATCGCCGCCTAGGTTGTTGGCGAACTCAATCCATCATGAGCGCTAGAATAGTACGCTTGACCTCCGTGATATGTGACGTCCATACCACTAACTTCCCTGTCCTCTGACACTCGCAGACCAATTGTATGCTTGAGTACCATCAGGATAAGGAACGTCACCACAGCCGAGTATCCAGCGGCTACACACTGTGACATGAACTGATGCACGAACTGCATGCCATGACCGTAAAAGGCACCCCCTTCGACAGCAGGATTGATGTCTGGACTGGCAAACAAGCCTGTGAGCAGACCACCCATGACACCACCACAGCCGTGAATACCGAACGCGTCGAGGGTGTCATCGTAACGAAGGTAGTTCTTCAGATGAACAGCACCAAAACCCGTTGCAGCACCAATGATACCGAAGATAACAGCAGCCCATGGATACACGAATGCACAGCCAGGGGTTATTGTCACAAGACCCGACACTGCACCACTAATCGCACCACATGGGTCAAATTTGCGGTACAGAATATATTCGAGCGACGCCCAGGTTACAAAGCCTGCACAAGGTGCCAAGTGAGTGTTAATGGCAGCGGTCGCAGCAATGCCATCCGCTCCACCTTGCGAACCAGCATTGAAACCAAACCAGCCAAACCAAAGCAGCGTCGCACCAATCATCACAAGAGGTACGTTGTGTGGTTTCACGGGATCGCCATGGTTATAGCGCTTGCCAACTACGATTGCAGCGACCAGAGCTCCAAAACCACTTGAGACGTGAACGACAGTACCTCCTGCAAAATCAAGCGAGCCCATTTTGCCTTCCCAGCCCATGGATGCCACTTCCCAGTTTTCGTCAAGCTCAAGTGACCACATCCAGCGTGCTAACGGGTCGTACACGGTTGACGTCCACAACAAAACAAACAAAAGATAGCTACTAAACTTCATCCGTCCAACAATACCACCACTGATCAATGCCGGTGTAATCATGGCAAACTGCGTCTGGAAAAAGGCAAATAGGATATGGGGGATCCCGTCACCATACACACCGCTAGCAGCTACTCCGATATTGTTGTATCCTGCCCATGCAAAAATGCCATCAGAGCTGAAGCACACTGAGTACCCAAAGGCCCAGAACTGGAGCGATACTAGTGCCATACTCACAAACGACATCATCATGGTGTTTGATGCAATTTCCTCGCCAGCTAGTCCAGCGTAGAAGAATGCGACACCAGGAGTCATGAGCATCACCAATGCACTGGACATGAGCATCCACGCTGTATTGCCGGAGTCAAGGGGCATATCACGAGCATTGCCAGCCTTTTCACCTCGAGATGAATACGTGACACACTTGTTGGTGTTGGAGTCGCGGTACTGCGAGATATCACACGTTACGGTGGACGTGGAAGTGTCTTGGGCCGAGGCAACAAGTGCGACGAGCACAAGTAGCGACGCCACAATGAAGCCAAGACAAGTAAAGGACTGGGTGTCTAATTGAAAGCGAAACATCTTTACTATTCTACTGATTGCTGTGTGTAGCTTATGGCAAATTGTAAATTATTCTGCTCTGAAACCAAAGCACTATGACACGATAACCAAGTGACACAGTTACTTTGGCATTTGGTGGCTAATTGTTGGCGTCATTGGGACATGATATCAAAAGGGTCGGTTGCGGTCGAAAAAAAAACAAGTTAGCAGCATGAAATCTTCCTCGTTGAAACGGAGACGATGCAGTGCAGATTACTGCTTCATATAGCTCAACATAAACTCAAGTGTTTGCTATGCGAGTTAAACCACTTTAAGATCGTTGGTTGGCTTCAACTTTAGGATATGATCCAGTGGCTTTGCCCACAGCAGTTCATCGTTCGTCAGTCGGTCCATTGCAATTGGTATACCACCTTACCAGACTTACATTCCTACATGCAGCATACCTATGATATGCGTAATACGTGCAAAGTTTTGCAGACATATTTTGCAAGTAATGTACCGAACGCAAAGCGTGACTAGTCGCAACATTACATCAAGAGTGGCTTACGAGACGTGTCATCGGTCTGTTCAGGCACGTCACTTGCCTAAGTTATTATTACCCCCCGTCTCTAGTCTTCAAAAGGACCGAGTCGAGCTTGTGAATGGAAAGAGAGTGGGATTTGAACCCAAATGTTGTTAGCTACTTGAGTGTTCTGACACCTTAAACCCACTACAAGACTAAAACTCGATCACGCAATGCTTTGGTTTTACTAAAACTTGCGCTCTCGTTTTGACAACCTCGTTAGCAGTTCCTAGGTCCACTTCACAAGCAATGTGCTGCCTCACAGCTCAACTTTTATTGCAAAAATGAAAGGGTGAGTCACTTGTAGCCTCCACCGAAAAGCTAAGACTAAGAACTCGGATGAGCCGGACAACATTCTCATTGACTAATTTACCAACCTCCCATTTCTCCGACTTTTGTTCTCCGATTTAGAGACGTGACAGTCATGACTACCTTCCAACGAAGAAAACTGCTGACTCAGACTCAATTTTCCATTCTCGTCATCGTTGTACTCGTCGCACTTGTTGCCTCGGCCCAAGACACTTCCACGTCCACCGTAACGTGTGATATCTCGCAGTACCGCGACTCCAACACCAACAAGTGTGTCACGTATTCATCTCGAGGTGAAAAGGCTGGCAATGCTCGTGATATGCCCCTTGACTCCGGCAATACAGCGTGGATGCTCATGTCCAGTGCATTGGTGATGCTCATGACTCCTGGTGTCGCATTCTTCTACGCTGGACTAGCTGGCGAGGAAATTGCATCAAACACCATGATGATGTCGTTTGTGAGTATGGCACTAGTATCGCTCCAGTTCTGGGCCTTTGGGTACTCAGTGTGCTTCAGCTCTGATGGCATTTTTGCATGGGCAGGATACAACAATATCGGAGCAGTCGCTAGTGCTGTGTACGCCGACGGGGTCCCCCATATCCTATTTGCCTTTTTCCAGACGCAGCTTGCAGTTGTTACGCCCGCGCTGCTCAGTGGTGGTATTGTAGGTCGCATGAAGTTAGAAACATTTGTCCTGTTTGTACTAATTTGGACATCGATCGTGTACGACCCGTTAGCACGCTGGATGTGGTCACTTGAGCTTGACGAAAACTGGGAAGTGGCATCCATGGGCTGGGAAGGCAAAATGGGCTCGCTTGATTTTGCAGGAGGTACTGTCGTTCACGTCTCAAGTGGTTTTGGAGCTCTGGTCGCTGCAATCGTAGTTGGCAAGCGCTATAACCATGGCGATCCCGTGAAACCACACAACGTACCTCTTGTGATGATTGGTGCGACGCTGCTTTGGTTTGGCTGGTTTGGTTTCAATGCTGGTTCGCAAGGTGGAGCGGATGGCATTGCTGCGACCGCTGCCATTAACACTCACTTGGCACCTTGTGCAGGCTTTGTAACCTGGGCGTCGCTCGAATATATTCTGTACCGCAAATTTGACCCATGTGGTGCGATTAGTGGTGCAGTGTCGGGTCTTGTGACAATAACCCCTGGCTGTGCATTCGTGTATCCATGGGCTGCTGTTATCTTCGGTATCATTGGTGCTGCAACGGGTTTTGGTGCTGTTCATCTGAAGAACTACCTTCGTTACGATGACACCCTCGACGCGTTCGGTATTCACGGCTGTGGTGGTGTCATGGGTGGTCTGCTCACAGGCTTGTTTGCCAGTCCAGACATCAATCCTGCTGTCGAAGGGGGTGCCTTTTACGGTCATGGCATGCAGTTCGTGCATCAGTTCATGTCACAGTGTGTAGCCGCTGGATACTCGGCTGTGGTGACGTTCCTTATCCTGATGGTACTCAAGCATACAATTGGTCTGCGAGTGTCAGAAGACAAGGAAGTTAATGGTATGGACGTCACATATCACGGAGGCTTTGCATATGAGCTCACTACCCACGGTCTGAGCTTGTTGAACTATAAAAAGATGAATCGACCTCCACGAGATTTTTCCAAACTGACAACGCCATCACAATGTGATTCCGACGATACTTCTCACATTAAAGAGCCAATTATGAATGTATAAAGCATCAAGTATCGATTGCATTCTGCTTGTGTGAAGTAAAAGTAAATGTCATTGAAGTAGTTGTAGTAGTTTGTGCACATTGATATCGTCATGTCCCTATGACGCTTATTCCTGTCAACAACATCTGATTTATGAACCTGGACAAATCATTATCCGGATTGTCTGTATCATTTATAGATACGTAACAAATCAAACCCATATTTGGTTTTCGTGAGACAAAACGTTTGTCACCATCGTAATCCACATACAAAAACTAAGACTCGGCAGTTTATTACAACATCATATATGAAGCCATATGACGCTTTGACGTTATGACGTGGCAAGGTATAATTGGTGTAATAAGTGTAAGATGCCATCGTACTTCAACGCTCCCATAAACACTAGTAATTTTAATCTTAATACTGCTTCATCTTGTCGTCACACAAATCACAATATTCGACGGTTGAATTAATCATCTGGAGGACAAGAAGAGGGTCTCTGAGTCTCTTTCTAGTCTCATCCCCATTGCATCCACTTACAAACCTACATTTGCCCTGTCGCTTTCTGGATCTGCTTTGTACTGCAACTAGAACTGTATGTCACGCTATAGTCACTTTGAAATTTGCTCTCAAGGGGTCACAAGAGCAAAAAGATGAATAGAACAATGACTCCATTGGCTTTAGCTTTAGCTTTAGCGCTGTTTGGATCTACCGCATCTGCACAGAGTGAAGCAAGCTCAACTGTCACGTGTGTAGCATCGCAATATCTCGACACGGCCACAAGCGAATGTGTACACTACAAGAATCAAGGCACAAAGGCCAGTAGCGACTTGAATACTCCCATTGACTCGGGCAACACGGCGTGGATGCTAGCGGCCAGTGCTCTCGTGATGATCATGACACCGGGTGTTGCTTTTTTCTATGCGGGTCTTGCTGGTGAAGACATGGCGTCGAACACGATGATGATGTCGTTTGTTAGTATTGCACTAGTCTCCGTTCAATTTTGGGCCTTTGGATACTCAGCTGCATTCAGCTCGAACGGTATTTTTGGATGGGCGGGTTTCAATAATGTCGAGCAATTCCCAAGCGGTACTTACGGCACTGGCATTCCTCATATCTTGTTTGCCTTCTTTCAGACTCAATTTGCGACCATCACGCCAGCTTTGTTGAGCGGTGGCATTGTTGGTCGAATGAAGTTTAGCTCCTACTTGCTTTTCATTCTTTTATGGACGTCGCTAGTGTATGATCCATTGGCTCGATGGATGTGGTCGCTGAAACTCGATGACTCGTGGCAAGTTACTGCTATGGGTTGGGAGGGCAAGATGGGGTCGCTTGACTTTGCTGGCGGGACTGTCATTCATGTGTCCAGCGGTTTTGGAGCTCTTGCGGCTGCTCTGATGGTTGGAAAGAGATACAATCACGGAGACCCAGTCAAACCTCACAACGTGCCGTTAGTGATGATTGGGGCGACGTTGCTGTGGTTTGGTTGGTTTGGCTTCAATGCGGGCTCCCAAGGTGCTGCTGACGGGATCGCCGCTATTGCTGCTATCGACACTCACCTTGCTTCTAGTGCGGGCTTTTTGACGTGGATTGGACTCGAGTTTGCTATGTACAAAAAGTTTGACCCATGTGGAGCTGCGAGTGGTGCTGTTGCTGGTCTGGTTACGATTACTCCTGGTTGTGGCTACGTCTACCCGTGGGCTGCAATCATTTTTGGTGTAATAGGCGCTGCGACAGGCTTCGGTGCCATTCACATGAAGAATCACCTGCGGTATGATGATACACTTGACTCGTTTGCCATCCACGGCTGTGCTGGTGGTATGGGTGGGCTCCTGACTGGTCTTTTTGCTACATCTGAGGTGAACCCAAATATCGAAGGTGGCGCGTTTTATGGTCATGGTATGCAGTTTGTGCACCAGCTGGCCTCGCAGTGCGTGGCTGCCGCTTATTCTTTCTTCGTCACGATCATTATTCTGTTCTTGCTGAAGGTCACGATAGGTCTGCGTGTGGACGAGGAGAAAGAGGTGAACGGCATTGACGTCTCGTATCACGGCGGTCTCGCGTATGATTACAGCGGCCAAGACCACATTGGACCAACTGTGAAGGCTGCCAACCCGCCATTGGGTGATTTTGCCGCGATGATGTCACCACACCTCGCCCACGAGTCTGCGCAGAAGCAGCCCATGATACGAACTTAGCCAGTATGCCGACCCACTGATCAACTTGACAGGACAATTGTGTATTGTCGTATGGTAGAAAGGACCGTGAACGGTGATTTGAATTGCTCAATGCAAGCACGTGAGTTGATTGAAGTTGTTTATTGAATTTTTGCAAGAGAAGAATGTGGATGGTGTTCACTTGTTTTGAACAATTTTTTGGACTGTTAACGACTTCATCTTAATCTAGCGATCTTGAAGTCAGAAATAGCTTACACGATCACTTACTACATACGGACATCAATAATGGCTCAGGGACATTGATGCACCGGAAGAGTGTTTACTCCACTCATGATGATGAGGGCAGCGTTGTCCATATCCAAGTGTAAACATGTAAAAGAGTCCCATCTATCTCTGTCATCATCTGAAAAAAGGTCCTTTTTAACAACCATGGAACAATCATGTGCAATGTTATTTGGTCTGCTTTGCTTTGCCAATTTGTGGCACTAGAATCGATTAGATCCGCTTACGGGATCATCCCCATCATGGTGATTCAAGCCGTCAGTTCTCTTACAAGCTCACAATCGTCAGTGTCCTTTTTTATTCAAGTGCATGTTGCATGTTGTATATGGGAAACAACGGAACGGGTGCGTATGTAGCATTAACATGACCGTTTAATCGTGTGACCAACTTGGTAAGCATCAAACGATTCAGTTTGGAATTGGCTTTCAGGAATTACGGTGACCTCAACCTTGACAGGATCATGACTCGACTAATACATGTAGTATTGTTCGTAGCTCTAGTTTTGGCCCTGACCACTGGTACTATTCTTGCCCAGAGTGCCTCTCGCTCAACTGTCACATGTCTAATCTCACAACACTTGGATACGACCACGGGCGAATGCGTTGCCTACGCAAACCGAGGTGAAAAAGCTGCAACTGATTATGGAAATGTAATTGATTCCGGTAACACGGCGTGGATGATAACAGCTAGTGCTCTAGTAATGATCATGACACCAGGCGTTGCTTTCTTCTACGCTGGTCTTGCTGGTGAAGAAATGGCGTCGAACACTATCATGATGTCGTTTGTGAGCATGGCCCTTGTGTCCATCCAGTTTTGGGCCTTCGGATACTCGGTGGCATTTGGCTCCAACGGTGTTTTTGGGTGGACCGGGTTCAATAACGTCGGGCAGGTCCCGAGTGGCACGTACAGCACTGAGATTCCTCACATTTTGTACGCCTTTTTTCAGACACAATTCGCAATGATCAGTCCTGCGCTACTCAGTGGCGGTATCGTGGGGCGCATGAAATATGGATCATTTCTGCTTTTCATTTTCCTATGGACATCACTTGTGTACGACCCGTTAGCTAACTGGATGTGGTCGCTGAAACTGGACGGTTCATGGGAGATCACTGCAATGGGGTGGGAAGGCAAAATGGGCTCACTTGATTTCGCAGGTGGCACTGTGATCCATATTTCCAGTGGCTTTGGAGCTCTTGCGGCCGCGTTAATGGTCGGGAAGAGATACAACCACGAAGAACCAGTTAAACCCCACAACGTGCCTCTTGTGATGATTGGTCTCACTCTCTTGTGGTTTGGTTGGTTTGGTTTCAATGCGGGCTCTCAGGGTGCTGCTGACGGAATTGCTGCCACGGCTGCCATTAACACTCACTTAGCAGCAAGTGCCGGCTTTTTGACATGGGTCTGTATTGAATTTGCCATGTATACCAAGTTTGATCCTTGTGGAGCTGCCAGTGGGGCTGTAGCTGGTCTGGTTTCTATCACCCCTGCTTGTGGTTATGTATATCCGTGGGCGTCGGTGATTTTCGGTGTCGTTGGTGCAGCAACAGGGTTTGCTGCAATTCAAATGAAGAAATATCTGCGCTACGACGATACCCTTGACTCCTTTGCTATTCACGGTTGTGTTGGTGTCGTGGGTGGTCTCATGACCGGTCTATTTGCTACATCAGATGTCAACCCAAACATCAAAGGCGGTGCTTTCTACGGCAATAGTACCCAGTTCACGCATCAATTGATTTCTCAGTGCGTCGCTGCATCTTACTCCTTTCTCGTAACGATCCTCATTCTGTATTTGCTGAAGAAAACAATTGGGCTTCGCGTGGATGAAGATATGGAAGTAAATGGGATTGATCATACGTATCATGGCGGTCTTGCCTATGACTACAGAGCACAGTGTTATACTGTAAAGACTGACAAAGGACGTTCAAGCAATTATGCTTTAGTCGAGGCTCCAAGCTTGGCTCAATTGTAACTGATCAAGGAAGTAAACATGCGACATAGTTAAAGTCCGGGCTCATTCTGGACAATCTTTTCAACACAATGTTTACGATCTACTGACTGGCTACAAGTGTGAACAAGCAACTGTAAGGAATAGGACATGTACATAGCAGCGCACATTTGTTGTAACGGTACCAACAATACATTACTCTTATCATCATGAAGTAACAAGAAGTAGGAAGCACTAATGATGACGTTGCTCGCTAGATCGTATAATCTCTTAATTTCTAACCTATCCGCGATAAACACTGCGCTGATTGGCAAAAAGTATCACAGAATGTTGTTTTCTTCTGTTTTTTTTTTCGTTTCCGACCTGGAAAGAGGTTTCTTTGCTGCGTGTAAAAAGTCTCTTCGATTCCATTTCTCCTCCGTCGATTACGATGCTCCGCCACCTTCATCCGAATCCTTCAACCTTTGCCAGCGTCATTCACTTACTACAGACCACGCACCTATCGGCGTCTCCCGCATCGTGCCGCGTCTTTTCACTCCTGTCCGCCAGTCCCCATTATGCCGAAGATTTTGACGTGTTGGGCTTCACCCGTAGCATCACAACAGGTCCACCAAGTAAAGATGATCATAATAAGAAGCCAACAAGTAGTGGAGACGCACTCTGCTGTCCACAATGTAGTGCGACACTTGTACTTGCTACACCACTTAGTGCGGACAAGTTGACGTCATCAAATCCATTGGCAGCCAATATATTAACGACGTCATCATCAACTTCAAGTGCTTTACCTTCCCCTTGTGAGTTTAAAAAGGGCGACGTGGTCAAATGTGTCAAGTGTAATTTGCATTTTGCACTCAAGGTACAGCCCCCCGTCTCACCAAAACCAGCATTTCACAATGCAGCGGCAGCAGCAGCATTAAGCTCTTTAAGTTCATCGTTGTCGCCAGGAATGTCACCGACAATTCGTGGGTCAAATGCAGGTGGTACTACGTACAGCAATTACTATCCGACTCGACCACCAAGTTGCATGAATGCCGATGGCGAGTACGAGAAATTGGCCAATGAAGCGCATTCGTTTGGACGAGTTACAGTAAATTCGACAAAGGATCGTGTATTAACTCCTCGAGAGATTTATGAAGGATTGAATGAATATGTCATTGGACAGGGCCATGTCAAGAAAACACTTGCTGTGGGTGTTCATAATCATTACAAACGTTTACATGCATTGGAATTACTTCAAGCGAGGAAAGAAGCAGAAGCGGTCTGTGCAAAGCAAAATGCCAGAGACCAGCATCAGCAATACCAACGTGCTGGTGGTGTAGTTCGTCACCATTTGGACGCTACTGACGCTCGGCTGTCGAGTGTTGGTCGTCCATTACTGTTGGAAAAGATTTATCACGGACCACAGAATCATGAGAGTGAAGGAAGATCGCAGGGCACAAAGCAACATGCATTGGAAAATACTACAGAAGCATCAGAGTCAAGTACAGCTGCAAACTCTCGTGCAACGACGTTACAACACCACACTTTGGGAGACAAGCTGCAATATTTAGAAGGTGTGGAGCTAGACAAGTCGAATGTCATGCTCATTGGACCAACTGGTTCGGGAAAGACACTGTTGGCCAAGACTTTAGCACGATTGGCCAAAGTTCCCATTGTAGTTGCAGACGCGACGTGTCTGACACAAGCAGGATATGTAGGTGAAGATGTTGAGTCGGTGTTGTATAAGTTGTACCAGGAGGCTAACTATAACCTGGAAGCCACGCAACGTGGCATTATATATATTGATGAAATCGATAAGATTACGCGGAAGAGTGATAACGTAAGTATTGCGCGCGACGTGTCGGGCGAGGGTGTTCAGCAAGCGCTGCTGAAGATTCTCGAAGGAAGCATGGTGAATGTGCCTGAAAAGGGCGGCCGCAAGAATCCGCGTGGTGAGTGCATTACCATTGACACAACCAACATTCTGTTTATTTGTGGTGGCGCGTTTGCCGGTCTGGAGAAGCAAGTCACACGACGCACGTCGCGTGCATCAATCGGTTTTGGTGCCAAGATGCCCAACATGCGCTTAACAGACAGCGAACAGATGGGTGAGGTACTTTCGCAAGCGGAGCCAGAGGACTTGGTATCGTATGGACTTATTCCGGAGTTTATCGGTCGTTTTCCGATGCTTGTAAGCACGACAGGACTATCTAAGGTTGAGCTGGTGCGGGTTCTTACCGAACCGAAGAACAGTCTTGTTCGGCAATATAAGGCACTGTTTGCGTTGAGTGACGTCAAATTTTATGCGACGGAAGGCGCGCTTGAGGCAGTGGCAGAATTCGCGTTGCGCAGGAACACAGGAGCACGAGGCCTTCGCTCTATCTTCGAACGTGCACTCATGGACACTATGTTTGATTTGCCCGACATGAACGATGTGCGTGCCGTGTACGTTGACGAAGAGGCTATCCTTGGACGCAAGCGACCTGTGCTTATTCGAGGTGACATGACACTTGATGAGTACCTCAAAAATCTCGAGGATTGCAGCGATAAACGGGAAGAGGCTGTTTAATCCGCAGGTGCAGACGTCTGCCAGAGCTTGTAAGGTCAGCAGTACCGTTTGTGTTTTTATGAATGGTGTTTTATCACGAACTCAATGCAACAAACCAACGTATCGATCGATTCCAGTTTACATTGAAAAGAGACAAGAAGAAACTCAAAGAATACATCGTTTCGCCCAAGCAAACTGATTCCAACTCGTTGTAGTTTAATGCGTCAATGCATGTGGCTTTATCGTATGGCCTAGGGACAATAAATACTACTGTCCGGCAAACCTGTTGACACTTCCACGCAAGACAACCGGTGTCAAATCACAGATACGATGGTAACGTGGTTCACAACGCATACAAGCCATGCGTCAGCCGCGTCAACGTGGTCGTCTTCAAAGCACTGAAGATTATCTTCAAAGCAATGAGGTGGAATTGATGTTGCTCGTTCACTGTGAGAATGCTGAACTCAAATGTGTCCACACAAACTGTAGCAAGTACGAAGATGAAACTGGATGACAACATCAGGATGCAGTCAATCGTGACAGCCAGACGCGCCAGTAAGGACGAAGGTGCTCAAATTGTCACCAACGACGAGCGCCACTCGTAATGTGTCTGCGACGAAAATCCCAACAGCGGCAGACCGGGAAGAAATGGATGATGGTCGTGCTCGCCACAGATGTAAGTCTAGCTTTTTTCAGTTCTTCTCTCGTCATTCAACGATCATGGACACAATGTGATAGTTTTTGCAAGCAATTTTTGTAGCACTGCGGTGGCGTCTTCTAACTCCTTTCCAGACAAGATACTTGCAGCAGTTTTATTATCCCCCACAGACGAGAGCACGGACTCGATTTCTCGACACAGCGAGACGAAATGAGTAATCTTGTGACGTTTTTGTGGCAAGGCTTCCGAGTTGTCTGCGGACCGTTTGGTTACTGCTGCCGACATATTTTGACCAGATTGATCACATTCTGCATACAGTTCTGCCGGCTCATCAGGGAACCGGTCTCTAAAGGCATGGTAATGAGAAATCTGACTCCGTTTCAAAGCCTGCAACATACTAGATTGAGCTGTGTCCAACGCCTTTGCTACATCTTCCGGAACAAGCTTTCGTATCGACACATGTTGTAGAAACGGCTGATATTCGTTAGCTAAAAGTGTTCGAAGAGATACACTTGGTAGCTCCACAACGTTTGAATGAGCAATGAATTTGTACAAAGCATCAAATATCTCTGAAAGTAATAGTGTTGTCGTCTGACGACTGGCAATGCGGGCAGAAGCAAAAAGCTTTTGAAACAGAGCAAGCATCAGTTTCCAGACAACGGCCGTGTCATCGCTAGCTACTTGCAGATCAAATAATGTAGCGTTCACAAATCGTGTCGTAATGATCAGAGTGTCACTTAGAGCACCATTCTGTTCCAAATAGTGTGCAGTATCAATAATCGTAAGCAGATCCTTCATCACTTGCACGCATTGATTATTCTTATTGGACTTGAGCACAAGTCCAAGTTTTGAAAGTAAGTACAAGGATGTTTCAGTAGCTCGTCCAATGCAGCGCGATGCAACCTTCTCTAGCGCCACGCTTCTATTGGTACGATTTGTCTGTGACTGAAACCCACTTGCGATGATTTGCGAGCCCTCGGTCTGCTTGCTATGTGCTGCAAGCTGTGATAATGCCTCGGTTGACATACAAACCAAAATGATTGAAAGTTCTGCAATGCCATCTTGTTGTGCCTCCATGTCGTCAAACACGCCTCTAAATACGAGGAGGCACATGTCAAGCACGCGTATCATTCCGAGAATACCGTCACGTTTGGCTGTAGTTGCTTTTACTCCAGATGATAAAAAATCAAGGATTGTACCACAACACTCAAAACATATTGGAAGATACTTGGCAACCCAGTCATCCTTCATCGGTCCGTTATACGAATGCAGGAAATGAACACCAGCCAGCTTCTCCAGTAAATGTAACTGTGACGCTACCCGCAAATTGAAGTGATGGCCTGGACCTTCACTGATGATTACGTCGATACCTGCGGTCGCTTGGTCCATACACACATCCTGGAGTGATGTAGGCATATCAGCAAAGATAAAAGCAATCAACTGGAGAATCTCGTCCATCACTCCACTCGCAAGCACAAACGACTTATCACAGCTACCGTCGTCCCACTGGGTAACATCAACAAGCATTCGGAGAGCCTGCACAGCAAGAGTTTCGTCCCAACAGAAACATAGAAGTTCTCGCCATACTTCCCAGCACACCGTACGTTGCATCCAGTCCGGATACAGAGTTTGTTTTATAAGCGTGAGCTGCACTTCCGCGACATTTTCAAAATTCAAAAAGTACTCTAGCACCAAATCCATGACCAGCTCTGTTACGTCAATCGAGCGTGAGTGTGAATCTGTCACTGCACATTCTCGGTACCGTGAAAACAGTTGCGTGACTTCTACAGCTCGGTCAGAATCATCATATAACCTATTGCTATCAGATTCGACCATTGAAATGTCTCCACCCACAGTTGTAAAGGCAGTGAGAACAAGCAGGTGACTCCATCTGATTGAACTTTCAACTTGCAAATTTGCTATATCTGACGGCTGACGTTGCCCCACTGCACGCACCATATCAGCAGCAGGATGCCATAGTAATATGCGAATGTTTGATCTCTTCTGGCAATTTATCGCGCCGTCGGCATTGCTCGCCAGCTTCGTGGTAATCTCCAGCGCTTGATCAACTAAAGCACGCAGTTCCTGCCCTGTTTTTGGTGTGTCTAGGACTCGACCATGTTGTGCTGCATAAAGCAAGCTTGCAGTCACATTAACAATCACCAAGACGCAATTTTCCAGCTCGCACTCCAACATATCGCTAAAAGCGACGACCAAACGCTGGAACGCTCGCCAATACAGCTTCAAAAACTTTAATACACCAACGTCCAAAACGGCTTTCTTATCCAACACACGCAATAGCTGCCCAGCACTCCTCTCCACCGATGCTATCACAGCAAGTATCAGCTCATCCACACTAAATGTCGTTGCATGATCGTCTTCAACAGTAGCCGCCGCTTTATCTACTAGTGTCAGACCAAAGGCCGTTGCCAATTTCGCCAAGTTCTACAAACAAATCACGCGTCAGTTTCATCACCATCATCACCCGGTCCATGCAACAGCAGCAATCACAACCTTCCAAATAAATGTCGATGTCTTCAAATCGTGCGTAACGTCATCACCTCCTTCCACTTGATTGCGTAACTGCATTAGCAACGTCACAATGTTTACCACACAGCATCTCAACTCTCCAACGTCTTCTTGTGGCTGTTCTCGAGTCTTCAATCGCTTCGGATTCGTTAATAATGCTGCATTCTGGTAGACAAAAGCCAATACTTGGTCTCCCCACTTAAGCCATCTTTGCGTGTCTCTTGCATCACCAAGACGACGAATGGCGTGCTGAAAAAACTGTAGCACTATACGCCGTATCCTATTCTTCTTCTGTAATCCTTCTTGCATTGTCCAGGACAACAGACGATCCAGTAATTGCAATAGTATCTCGTGCTCCGAGGAATCTCCGCTTAAGTCCGAAATCAACGTCTTGGTTACAGTGGTCCAGCGATCCTCTGACGCCGTTAGAAACGCCACGACTTCATCCAGAACTGCTTCCTTGTTTTTGCTATGGATTAAACCTGGTAGAAATGTACGTAATTCCATTGCAATAGCGCCAGCATCGACGCAAGTAGACAGTCGACGCGTCACATTCGCCATTTATGATGATGTAACAATTATAAATTACCACGACCGTGACAAGAGTGAGTAATTTATTCGTAATTTAAAGTTGAATAGATTTTTGTTTTCGTATTTTATTTCTTGCGTTGATCTCGTAATAAAGATTCTTTTGTGTTCACAAGATTTAGTCTTGCGACATTTTGCATTGACATCATCATATCGGTGGATTATTTTCGACATATGTAGATGTAATCATTACTCTTTTTACAACTATTTTGACCAATCATATCTAGCGCCCGATATTTGTCGTATCGCCATCCACTCGATGAATCTACGTTCCGGGCCGTGTGGCGTCTGTAAAGTCAATGCGACCCCAAACGAAGTGTAAGATTAAGTGAGACTAGCTACATCATCTAGTAGATGTATGTCATACATGGTCCAGTTCCAGCGGTCGAATCGAGATTTAAACAGCCGATTGGCTCGAATGCAAGTTCAACGGCTTTTCATAGAGGACGTTGTACCAGTCTCGCTTGATTACTAGTGCTTTTGTCGTCAGTTTGTCAAAAAGTGTCTCATTAGCGTAATCCATTGCGCGCTTGCACGTGGTCACCATGCCAGAAATGTCGCGCGTTGACGCATACTACCATACATCTGCCTGTATGCAGTATAGCAACAGCTGTGGCTGACGTCTCTAAAGCGCATTGCAGATGGATTGGAGTATTGAAGATGTCCAGAATGCAAAGACCGTATCCTGTACGGCCTGCACTGAGCCATTTCACACACTTTTACATTTACAGAACTGGCACTGGCATGGGCCCTTTCGAGGACTTCAAATCTCGGATTCGACAAGGACATATCAGGCGTCCCTCATTATGGAGATATATGACGAATGATGTCGATACAGCTGGTAAAAGCCGACGTAACGGTTGTTTTCTCCCCTCCCCGTCTATTCTATCGAAGCCTTCTTGGTCTTTACGGTGCAGCTTCGAAAAAATCTCGCAGCAAATGTTACCGTGAGAATAATTGAATCAGTGTTGGATAATCGAATACTATCGTCATGGAAGGGAAGGCATCGCATGTGACGATGTGCACATGCGATATCCGCAAGGAACGCAGAATCATATTTTGCTGATTATCCACTACATTTATTAGAAGTTCTCTTTTCTTCGAATCAGATTTGGGTTCCAAGGAAGAACAGTCTAGCGAAAAACGTACAAAAGCTTCATTAGAGTGGACGCATCATTAGAATGAGATCGCTGTCAACGACAATCCCAATGACCCGTATAGCCGTGTAGCTGTATTCGACTATGTGGCATTGCCAATGGCAAGCGGTCTTGCCGAGTCAGTGGACGATGGGGCGGACCATATGACGGTTACAGCTCAGCAGCGCTCACGTATGTGATGGGCTTGTAGCGGACAAGGCCAGGCGGCGACTCAGTCGCTTGGCTCGATCATGTGGCATGTATTCTAGCTAGCGGGTGCAAATTCGATGACACTGCTCGTGACTTCTGACTGCAGTTTGCAGACTAGAGTGATGCTGTTATCAGCAAAATGTTTTCATTTGAGGAAAAGAGCCAGGTACACTGATGACACAGACGAATAGTCTATCTGATCCACGCAGACAACCTGTTCCCACTACTCGTATGTATATTTTCTTTCTTATACAATTCAAACGAGAGTGGGGCTAGAACGCTACATACACAAATGATGGACGTTTGCACTGCATGCCATTCAAACAATCCTTCGTAAATATGAGGCATCCATTGCGATCGTAATTGAGCTACTAGCTTCCTATGTAGTAACTACTATTACACACCTTAATCGCTTTCTAGGAAAGAATGCATCAACCCTACCAGCTGTCTTTTCTCTTGATTTCAATATGTGAGCACTATCTTCAACTGAACCCTTGCCAAAGCGAAGGGGGAGATGAGCAGTACGATCGCTACATCGCCAATAGTTAAGCGTCCAATACTTCACAGTTTCCATTCCGCACTCGTCTATCAATTAACCACCCACCCACTCACTCACACCAACTCCCTTGCGTTATCTAGTGCGGCAAACTATCAGTCATCACTGTTTTTTTAAAATCTGGTAGCGCGGATGGTACAGTCTCCCGAAACTGAGCAGCTGCAAGATTACCTCATCAATTGGAATGTTGGGCCTCTTGGTGTTGTATTACGACCTGACTTGGGAGCAGATATGCCTCCTATTGTAGCTCAACTCTTGCCACAACCTTCCGTGCTAAAGCTAGCAGGTGTACAAGAAGGGGATTTACTCATTAGTATTAATGGCAAAAAAACAACACGTATTGGGTATGAAAAAGTCGTGCGATTGCTCTTTCAAGAGCGATTACCCATGGTATTACACTTCCGTTCACCACTAAGTGTTTCCAGAGGTATGACAAGTGATGAATCAATGCGTACTCGTACGAATAGTGCCATACGTCATTCTCCGTCCTTAGCGATACGACCACGCAGTCGCTCGGATATGATTGAACAAAAAGAACGTAATCCAGGTGGACCAAGTCGGGAAAAGGAGGAATCGTGTACACCACATCAATCCACGCACAAAAAGACGAAACCGAGAGGGCGACATGGCACAAAAAAGAGCGAGACGGATGACAAACGTATACGTAAACAATACAGTGTTGTCTGGGAACGTGGTTCCTTAGGTCTCTCGTTTCGTGCCTATAGTTCCAAGGTAAATGTCCCATGTGTGGATTATATCAGTCAGACGCGAGGCCAAGGACGTGGGATGGATCTTGTTTGTATTAATGATGTTCTAATCGCAATTAATGGCGAAAAAACAAAAGCACTGGGGGTCGAGAAAGTATTGAGATGGCTACATATTGTTGAAAAACCAGTCGTCTTGAGATTTCATGCATCGTCGAATCGTGTGGTTGATTCAATGGGCAAGCTCGTACATGTCGTAGCTACTGAGAATGTAGATACTTCGGCACGTCCACGACGATTGACATTACCACAGACTCAACCAGAAAGTGAGCCAATACCACGCCCACCACGTCGTAATAATAGTGTTGATCATTCCATGCAGAGAATGGAACGAGGATATGGAGTAGAAGATACAAAGGAGAACAACAACAACAACAACAAGTTACAGTCGACAATGCCACGACGTTATTCAAGAGAGAGAGAAATGGATGTGGACAAGCAGCCGATTGAAAAACATGATTTGTCGTCTCCATATAAAACACGAAATACAAAAGCAAAGGAACGAGGACGTCATACGAAAACAAACAATGCAATTCATGCTTATGGACGAGGTCGAGATCAGATGTATCAAGATGGTGGAGCTGGAGAGTTTTGTCATGAACCACTGGATGTAGATGCTTTACATGTTGATTCAAGAATTGATAAGCACGTTGTTATCTCGCGTCGTTATCAACAGCATCAGGACGTGACTCGAGTTGGTCAAGTGCGTCAAGCTCAGTTATTACCCGTACGATCACGTACGAAATCAGCTGCACGTGATGATTTACGACGTCAGCATCAGTCGGAGAGCATGTCCGCACAACTACCAAATCCAATTCCAATTACGGTACCAACGCGCCCACGTGTAGCATCCCGTGAAAGCCAAGGCAGTAACACGCCCCAACTGAGTTTTGATGAGGCCGCTGGTGTTGTCGCCCGAGCTACAGGAAAGTCCGTGGAGGAATGCGAGTTTGGAGGAGTACCAGTGCTTAAAATAAAGGAAGGAACAGTACAGTCAAAGCTCATGTACATTTACGCGAAGGCATGCCTGGCGAAAGATGGAAATCTGGATGACAAATCTGAATCGAAGGAGTCTCAGCCTGCTCGCACCACGGGCAATCCTCTAGGTCGAAAGAATTGCTCCAGATATTTGTCGTATACGATTCTTCAGGACGACGCTGTGGCTTCGAACCATGTGTCGAGTCCAGAGAATGGGTGCACCAATAACGAAAGTATGCCGGAGCAGGAGGAAGCGCACACAGACGATATTGCAAACAGCATTGAATCCAAGAGCGCAGGCGTTTCCCACCACAAAATGGATGAGAGTTTTGCAAAGATGCAAAAAGACATTTCCATCCAGCCGCAGTCGGCTTCTACTCCGCCTCTCTCTTCTGTGGTCACTTCTTCTTTGGAAATCAGTGACATCATGTCCAATGTGCTTGCTGCACCAGCATCCGTGGCTGGTGATTTTATTTCGCTAAAGGATTTTGTCGTAAAGGGCGGGAATCTGACAGAGCGTTGTACTACGCCGAATCTTAGCCGCACTGCAACGCCGATGCAGACAACGGATAGTGGTGGTGAATGCGAGACGATACAGGAGCAGGGAGAGAATTTTTTGGCGAACAATACAGATGAAACAGAAGCTTTGTTGGAAGCTATTGGTGAAGCTACCAGTACGGCTGTAGGAGAGGAGACGAAGTTGATAGAGCCGAAGCAGGCCAGTTTCAATGACAACAGACTAGCAGCAGACCGGGATACGGTTGAGAACCAGCAGGCAGCGGAATCTGAGAAGATGATCGCGCTGGAAGAAAAGTGCGCTGACAAGAATGAGCAAGAGCACGCTGATGACCACAATGATACAGAAGTCGAAAATGCCGACAAGGATGATGATGTTTCCGGTATGGACAGCTTCAATGAACGAGACCTGACTGCAAGCGTGGTGTCTTTTGACGGCCTGCTTCATTTCTCAGCTAAGGATGACAGTCACGTTGAAGAAGAGCATAAGGAGTTTGGCGTCGGTGTTGACGATGACGAGTTAAACGTGAACATCAACGCTGATGGTAAGCAGTCTATGAACATCTTGTTGGATACGACGTTAGACCTGGTTGAAGAAGAGGACGACCATGAAGTTCAAGCACTCTATGAGGAGCAGCAAAATGATAAGGAGAATGAAGACCATGAAGAAAAAGAAGAGTTGGAGGATGGTGCATTGTCCAATGTGCTCGTGGACGAGCTTTTCCGCGACAAGCCTGATGTTCGGGAGGTTATCAAGGACAAACCTGCCCTTATGGTGCTGGTAAAGAAAAGTATGATCGACGAGGTTCAGGAGATTCTTCAGAGTTTGCAAATGGAATTGCAGTTTGAGCGCCACTCCATCATGGCAGTTGGTTCTATTCCAAGTCCGCCGCGTACTTTGCAGCAAGATCGGGATACGGAGGGCGAGCACTGCTACCGCTGTGAAGCAACTGGTGAGCTTGCGGAGCTGAATGTTGCAAGTGGACAGAAGGAGCTGTATTGTCAAGAATGCTGGGAGTTGTTCTTCTTCAGCGAGGACCGGAAATCACCCGTAACAAGAGTTAGCAAGACCCTAGCGCCGTCAGAGGTTGGTCGACTGACTGCCGACGAAGATGCGCTAGACGAAGCACTTAAGTACAGTTTCCACGACAGCTCCGTAACGCGTGAGGATATGATCCACCCATGGCAATACCGACAAGACACTAACTCCATGTCATCATCTATCCGTGATTCAAACGCGTCGAGTTTTACTGACCAAGCGGATGAAACGTGGCTTTAAGCACTGCCTGTTTGGTGCTTTTGAAACTTGCGTCTACTAACTCAACCCTTAACCGTTCGTAGAATATGTTTGTAGCCATTGAGCAATTCATGGATCCATAGGTGCGTGCACATCAAGAGTAGGGTAAATCTTAACAGAGGAGGAGGAAGAGGAGGAAGTAAGGAAGTGACCCAATATTCAGCGTCGTTGTTTCAAGCATGTGTGCGGTATGTACGAATGAAATCAAGTGTTAGCCAATCTTGGCAACACGTGACCTCAATATGCGCAATGACATTAGGCTAATGATGCATGTGACACTTTTGCCTTTACAGGAACAAATTAAGACAATGGACACAGCTGTTTACCAACCATTTTCCTCCATTTTGGCTGGAGCACGAGAGAGAGCGAGATTTGTTGTATCAGGAGGAACAAGTGGTGAGATTTTCACTATAGAGAGGTTGAGTACCAAGCAGTGTCTCTTATATGTCTGCCATTGATCACTATCATCAGTGTATATCTCGTTTCTCAAGCACCACCACAGGCTCATACAAGTTTAGTGATCATTTGAAAAATATCGTATTGCTGGGAACTGTTTGAATGGGAGATATGATTCTACCACCCACGACTTTGACGTTTCAAAAGGTGCTGGACACCATGTGTACGATACCGTGGAGTGTCCTCAAACACGTGGAGCAAACTTTATTGTGGAGTGTTCCTTCTGAACCAAAAAGGGCCCCAGTGGGCTGACAATGTTTTTACTGCTCTAAAATTGGTCTCCTCGTTGGAGATAGTTGACGACGAGTCTACTGATGGTTGCAGCTCTGGAATGTTTTCCAGTGACGAAGACGCAGATTGGAGCAGTGATGAGGTTAGTTTCGACAACTATTCGGACGAAGAAACGACTGACTTGCTCATGTTGGACGTGTACCAAGGTGAGCGATGGTTTTGGTCCCCACCTAGCTCGATGAATAGCATTCAAAGCTACGAAGACAAGTATGAAACAGCCAGTCAACGTAGTGCCGACTTGGATGAATTTGGATTGGAGCTCAGTGATAAATACTACAGACGCCCTACCATGTATGCCATACCATCGGTTGATTTTAAAAGTGATGGTGTGATTGATACTTGGGTTAACCGTTACGGATCAAGCAAAGACGACTTCACTTACGTGCCAACTGTGCCCGATGATGATGACTTGGATAACGGGTCTCAAGACTCAATTGTAGCGACAGGGTTTTACATCCCACAACTCTAAATGAATAAGCTTTGTCAAGTTTATCTCATTTCTCAGAAGAATCAACTTGCAAGATCGACCATATATTCTTGTCTCTAACGGATATGACCGTATACGTGGTTTCTGAATCTAATGCGATCCAACCGACATGGTTATTGACCAAAGCCATGGTGGATGGTCGCATCCGAAAGCTTCCACAAGCTTGATGCTGAAAATTTTATTAATGATCGCTAATATAGACTGTAGCCGTAAAGTGCTTGAACATCCTGAGAGAGGCTTGTTCCATCATACCGTTTTTCTTCAGAAATGTTGCAATGATATGCTGGACACGGTAATGCTCTGCAGGCTTCTTGGCAGTGGGTGCACTTCGATTGTTCAAAAATAGCTCAAAAAAAGCGGTCGTAGGGCAGAAACAGGCAAACCCAAGAAAACGACCGAGAGTGAAATGACTCTCCTTGCAAGCATCTTCTAGATGGCGGTAAGGCTCCCATGCCGCACTCTCAAGCTCCTTTGGTTCTTGCGGTCGAAAGTCGTGCCAGAAGAGCTGGAAGTCCAAAGAAGGAGGTTTGACTAAAAATTTGTTTTTGCCCTCCACAACCAGGTATTGGTCATCAGACAGCAATGATGACGTTCATACATGGCAGTGAAGAAGACGCTGAAACCTGAGCGACCTTTGGTGCTGGACTCCTATTGGTAACCTGGTAGAAGATGGAGCCACATGTGAGAGTTGCTGGGACATGGCCGAATCGATCCGGCGTAATGGTCGACGTATGAGTCACTAGCCACGGCCGATCACGCTCTACGGATCTATAGCGGCGTCTGCCTGAGCTCTAACTGCTCACGTTCCAGCTTTTTTTCTATGAACACCCGTGGCAACGTTTGCCGCTAGGTCTTCGTCCATTGGCCATCAGCAAGTTCACATGGCTTCCACACCTAAGCTCAGCTCTATGATAAGCGCCATCGTAAACGCGTACTGCTTGCCACATATCATCGTTTACTATAACACAAGTTTCGTTTCTTTGATGGTTCCTGGATGACTCCTGTAGAATGGATGACTTGCCAAAGACTGGTGCACACCGGCGAGGTTGTTTGTCTAATTCTTGGTCTTTCCGAGACGCGTGACAGAGCTAGACCCAGAGCGTGGCAGCCAGATTTTGATTGAGCAATCTGCCGAAGCAGAAGCGAGAATAGGCTCGGTGGGGTGGAAATCCACACAGTACACACGGTCAGTATGGGCGTCAATCTTCTGCACGAGGCTTTGTGTGTGTTTGCCAGAAGCGCTTGCATCTGCGGCGTGCTTTGACGGTGTTACTTCGTGCAGGTATATATGGCGGTCAGCACTTCCAGTGGCAAGTAGCAGCGTTTCATGCGAGGAATCCATGGACCCACGTTCGCCACTCGTGTCCTCAAAATCTTCCTCGTCGCCATCCGTGAGCTTGTGGCGTGAGCTTGTGCTAGAGCCGCCAACCAGACCACCTCCAAGCCGTCCGCGTGGTGGCAGCGCCAGCTTGTATTTGTAGCCGTCGCCCCGGAAGAAGGAGCTCTTAATAGGCCAGTTCTTGTTCTTATGACCCGACACAGAGCAGACTAGCTGCAGCTGGTCATCACGGCTGTCGCTGCCTCCACCGGGGCCGCGCCTCGAGCTGATGAGCTTAAAGCGTCGGTCGTATACACGCAGGATGTTGTCATAGCTGTTAACGCCAAGGAAGCGCCCATCGTCACCACCATCACCCGCTGGCGACGCATGCACGTGTGAGATGGCGTGTCTAGCTGGGTCGTTCAGTACGGATAACTCATCAAGACACGCATCCATTCGGACGTCCCATGTCTTCAGCATGCCCTGAAAATCCACCGCCAACAAAAGTTGTGTGTAAGGCATAGTGCAAGTTAATGAGGTCGTATACTAAAAACAAACAAACCTTGCTATCACCCGTAGTGACCGTGAGACCGTCATGCGAGACGTGCAGCGCGTTCACCATGGCATCGTTAGTCCATGTACGACACACGCCGGAGCGTACATCTGCCATATGCAGACAACACTTGCTGGATCCCATGAAGAACTGATTGTTATCTGCATATTATCATTCCACACACACATCATGTCAGTAATCTCCTCTCTATCTACACATCAATGTGCATTTCTCCTGTACCAGCCATATTAAAAGCCACACACTGAACAAGTCCGTCCACCTCTTTACTATTAACGAGTTGGTGCTTTTCAACGTCCCAGAGCTTCACCGTGTGGTCATAGCTGGCTGATACAAGCATCGCGCTATCCTCTGCCCAACCCACGTCAATCACGAGCTGTGCGTGACTCGAGAGCGCCGCTAGCTGCGGCTGATTAAACTTGGTAGTCACGTCCCAGAGCATCACTTTGCAGTCAAAGCCCCCAGAGGCGAGCAATCGTCCACAGGGTGAGAACTTGGCCGTGTACACGGCTCCTGCATGAGCTCTCAGTGTCGACTTATGTACAAGAACACGAGTATCTCCGTCAGTGTCAGTGTCGTACAAGTCTCCCTTCGCACCCAATAGAGCACTCGAGCTACCGTGAGCTCGACGAAACGACGACTCGGCAGCAGCTTCAGCGCTTGGAGCTGCCAGCAAGTCCGCAATGGCAAAGGGTTCTACTGCAGTAGCACGGGTTGATGGCGCGTGTGCTGAGTCTAATCTGTAAGAGTGATGGTCAAATTTCGTACTTCAACTTGGGTTGTTTCCCCTTTCATTTCTGATACTTCCTACTATCATGTAAATATAGAGGTATATCGTACTTGAGAGTAAGTTCATAGACAGACCGCTTCAGGTCGTAGTTTTCTCGATCGAGTTTCTCTACGTTTGTCTTCAGCATCTTATTCTCCTTTATTAGTAGCTATATATACAGTATAAAGAGGTCAAGATATTGAATACTAAAATGCAGGAACAAAGGAAGAAAGAAAGAAGAGAAGACAGAAACAAACCTCATACTGAGCTCGCAAATGCGCCTCGGACGCCATCGTAATTTTCGGCTTACCTGAAAATCGATGGAATGGAGTGATATTACTATTAAGAGGTTTAGTATTTTCCTGTAAACAACATATATCGAATTAGAAAGGGGATAAGGACTGGGCCACACTGGGCCACCTGCCCGACGTTAGTCAAAATGTCATGTATTTGTCTTTTAACGTCCACAAGAACACAAGAGCACAAGAGAGAGAGAGAATGACAAGTCGAACGACAGAGACAATGAACATAGTAGTGGGTGTATTGGCACTACAAGGTGCATTTGAAGAGCATATTTCAATGCTACAAGGTTTAAGCGCTACGACTGTTACTGGTCAGACTGTAATTGTGACAGCAGTGGCTATTCGTTTGCCTGAGCAGCTGCAGAATGTAGATGCACTGGTGCTGCCTGGTGGCGAGAGCACGACAATTGGCAAGGTGGCCGTACGTTGGGGTCTTGTAGAGCCACTTAAGAAGTGGGTGGCAGATTGTCGTCCCATTTGGGGCACATGTGCCGGCATGATCATGCTTAGTCAACAGGCGAAACACACTGAGGAAGGTGGCCAGACATTAATTGGTGGTCTGGATGTTGAAGTTTCGCGCAACTTTTTTGGTGCACAGGTGCGAAGTTTTGAAATGCTCGTGGATGGTCCACCAGTCTTTAATGCCAAGCCGTACAATGCCGTGTTTATTCGTGCGCCTGCTATCATTTCTGTCGGTGAGGAGATTGAGGTGCTTTCTCGTGTGACTAATGCCAAGCCTGCAGACGGCTCTGACCCTGTGGACGTCATTATTGCGGCTCGCAAAAACAACATTCTCGTCACAGCTTTTCACCCGGAGATTACGACAGATACACGTTGGCATCAATACTTTATTGAGACAGTCGTCGTGCCTCATCTATAGTTAGAAGACCATTGACCACGATGTAATAACTTGTTTGAAAAATGCTGGACCTGATGATGACACCCCCTTTACTGCCAGCATTAATGCAAAGCACTAATAGCCCGTACCAATTAGCTTTTAATTACATTTGACGGTATTGTTACGTGCTTCATGGGTTTTGTCATATGCAACCTGAATGCTTTAGCAACAAGATATACATAGCAGAAAAGGAATCCCGAAATCTCGTCAAAGAAACGTTGAGCGCTGTCAAGAACGGCTTGATAAAACGATAAAGCCAGAAAGAAATTGAGCAGAGGACCAAGACGTCTCCGCAATCCTCACACGTTCCTATACTGTCTAGCCCTGGACGGCATCCAGTGCGATACTCGAGTAATACTTGACGTCCATGTCGGAGTCGTTCACTAGCTCCGTCAGGCAAGGTCTGCACAAAATATTGACACAAGTTTTCATCAACCACCTGACGCAAAAAGAATGAGGCAAGTAGCTGCCAATCAACGTACCGAACTTGAGCCGCCACAACAGAAGCATCGGCGAGTTTACACAACTGCTCTAAGGTCATGGAAGCCACAAACCTAACGTTTGGAATCTTGTCGTGGGCGCCGCGGATGGCCAGTGTAGTCATGGCGGTCAGTAAGTCGCTCGCCACCTTTTCCACGGCCATCTGCTCCAGCGCGTGTAGCACATTGACCCGCTCCTGGTAGATCACGGACTTTTCAAAAATCTGGTTTAGGCGCGGCATAATGTTCTGAAGGATGTAGTCGCTGCCCAGAGATTCTAGTAGCTGTGGTAGGATTTTCGTTGCACTCAGACGAACTTCGCCTACCATGTCTGTGAAGGCACTAACGCAGATCTCCAGCAAATGGTCCTGAAAATATTGAGCGCCCAAACTGCCGGCAAGGGCAGGGATAGATAGAACCACAGCCTCACGCACACGCCACTGCAGATCGCGTGCTAGATCGGCAATGGCCGGCAGAAGCACAGACTCAAAAGAAGCCATCCACTGAGCAAGAAGTTCCATACGCTTCAGAATGTTCAGCCGCACATCGACAATCTCATCGCGCAGGAAAAGAAGCAGTAAAGGGGCCAATGCCGACTTTGATGTGACCTCGCCCAGTTTCGGTGCAAGTTCCATGCATGCAATAGAAACAGCAGCTGCAATCCAAAGACGCCAGTTACAGCAAAAAGTGTGAGCATCTTATTCACACATCAAACAAGGCAAACAATACCAGCACGTACTGCGAACATTGGGCGCCGTGTCTTGGGATAAAGCTGATAGCAGCGGAAGAATCTCGCTTGTAAAAAGCTCGCTCTTGATAATAGAGATGTAGCCCGATAAGTTTTTCGCGGCGGCAGCGCGCACTTCAGCTTCTGCGTCCTTTTAGACAATAACGCAAGCTATTAAACGACCAAATTCCATTTCAATCACCAACATCTTATTCGTACCTGAAGAAGATTGGTGAAGCAACCAAGCAGCTCGGACTCCGTAATCTGCGCTCCCATGGCACGTGAGAGAGGAAAAAAGTTCTTTGCAATGCTAAATCGCACACGCCAAGAGCGATCTTCTACAGACGAGCGCACAATAGGAAGTACATGCATTGAATTGTCGTCGTGCGAAAGCAGCTCAGCAATCGCCGCCGAGTTTTCAATAGCCAGCAGACGCACGCTGTCCTGGTCGTCAGCCGTAAGAGCCCGAAAAAGCGGCAGGATCATGCTAGCAATATGCTCCTTCTCCATCGCGCCCGCAAACTTGCCAATGTTCGCAGCAGCAGCACGACGCACCATAGGCGTATCATCATTGCACATCATCTGATAAAAACTACAAATCACAGGTATCAATCAACCCTGCATCTCCAGACACATCAGTAGACAAATGTCAGCAACATACTCTCGCAGTTCCTTCTTGCGTCCAGTATCTGACATCTTCCCGTAAATTGATGCAAAGAGTGAGCACACTGACACGCGTGATGTGAACCAGTCCCCTTCAGCTAAACGTTTGACCAGCGGTACCATCACGTCACCGACATTCGGTACCACCGCCACCGTCTTCTGAAGAGACTCGACGGCACGATCTCGTACCACAGTCTCCTCTACACCGGCAAGGACCTCAAGAGGTTCTACAAGGGCCAACGCATGCTCTGCACCACCTACAAGATCTACAAAGCCACCAAGTTCTTCAGCCAATGCCACAAGCACTTCATCTTCATCTTCTGTAGCTTCTGCGTAGCATATAAGACAATCACATAGTAACAGTCACATAGTTTATCCATCACACACATTTACTCTTAACTAGATACATTACATCATAACATTCACATACCACGAAGAAATGGCAAAAGGTCCGAGCGAGTACGTTCTGGACCAAGAGCCTGTGCCACAGTACGAATACGTCGCATAGCTTTGATCCGTATTTCCACTTCATCACTCTTAAGTTCCTCAGTCAACAGCGTCATTGGGTACGCTTCATCCTCTATCAAGTAAGTAAAGAAGGTGTAACAGATTGGACATGAAAACAAAGCAAACTCGTTCAGACAAAACAATACAACACAGACAAAGACCCTTAAGGATCAATAACGTACCCATAATGATGTGTAAAGAAAGTCAGGGGGGCGGTCTGTATGGAGTTAAAGGCTGAGCTTATGTCGACGGCCTGCACTTGACTGTCTGTCGTCCTGTGCTCGTTCTTCTTTTATAAATTTATATTCAATGCCCCCTATATGTACACCACACAGATTGATGTGGTCCACGTTTTATCCCTTGGAATTAGGTATTATGAAAGACAATAGTTTATTCATTTGAATAGGATTTGTGTAGGAAAACATCATATTCATCCTGACACATTAATCTACTTAAGAATGACGACGCTAATGTGCGTCGAATGCGAAGATACAGCGGCTGCTGTGCGTTGTGAGGACTGTGAAGACTTGTACTGTCCACTGTGCTTTGACGCACAACACCATGCTGGATCTAGATTGCGTCATACAAAGACGGTATTGTCAGGCAACTCGACCAGTGTCATTTCTAGTGTCAACCTGAAACCGTTGCGTCCACAAGACCCTCCTCCTTTGTCATCTCTAGAGCATCCATTAGCTCCTTTATCATCTACAAAACCACATGTTTCTCCTTTGAAACAATCAGTAGATAACACGGCGTCTGTAACGAGCAAGTCTGAAGATGACGATGAGTTAATGCGCGAGATTGAAGAGATGCCATCGGCGCTAATGAAGGAGGCAATGTACATTCCATTGCGATTGGATGAAGACGAGCGTGCGCTGTTCAATTTGCTCGATGCAGCGCTAAATGTCAGTGAGTATACGGACAAGGTGGATGTGTTGTCTTATCGCTCACCGCTCAAGCGCATTATTCACGAACTGAATGAAACCTTTGGTGTTCTCTCGGGTCTCATGATCGCCAACGACTTCCGTCAAGGTCGTCGACTTGTACAGGATAAACAATATAAGGACAATGAAGACTTTTTTTCGCCAGGTGTTTGAGATTGGACGCCGCTATAAGATGATGAACCCAGAACGGATGCGAAACAACTATGGCAAAATGATTTACTTGTTGCAGGATGCAAACCTGCGCGAGATACAAAACTGTCTTGGATTTTTATGCATAGCGCCAATCAAGACGGTAGCATCGTTGCTGGAGGAACGCCATGCACTGGACATGCTTCGTGACACGCGGTGTAACGTGGCAACGTCTGTGGCTGCCGTTAACACTGATCAGCTCGTTGACCCAGAAGTTTTGCGGCGCTTTTCACAGGACAAACAACAGGCTATTGACGGGCTAGTACGTGACTACTCGTCAGCTTCGTTGTCAGAAGAAGAGATTCGTTTATGTCTGGCATCAATTTCTGATAGTCAGAGCTATCTGGCGTCCAACAGATCGCCAATCACGCGTATGATTGATTACTTAGAAAAGTATTTTGTGCCAGAGAAGGCAGAAGCAGGTTTCAGCCTCGAGATCCGGGCTGGTACGAATGGCGCGCGGCTCAGTCACAGCCATGCGAGCCAGTACGAGTATGTCTTGCAGTCGCTACTGCTCTGGAAGAATATTACGACATCGATGCTGCGTCTGTGGTGGGTTGTGGAGGAAGACCTGTTAGGCGGTAGTATGTATCGGCTACGTGATACAGGTCAGGGTCTGAACCGTATGCAGCATGCATCCGAGACGTCTCATTTGGTGCACACGATTCTACACCACACACAAAAAATGCGTCCTCGTTGGGTTGGTTCCTCAGCTGTGCATCTCGGTGATCACAACGTTCCCAACGCGCTCATGTTTATTGACAAGTACACGCAGATCTCGCGTATTTTAAGTCCGATCGTGAATACGGTGCATGACATTCCAGTGCTCGCTGTGCAACCCAATACGCGCGCATACATCGAGGATAGCTTTGGTGGCGCCGAGAAACTTCAAAAAGGAATCCTGTGTGACTTTTTCAAACACGGATTTGATGGTAGTGGTGCAGACAATTTTTATGACGCAGGTTCGTGTATTGATGGACGCCTTACTAGCGCCTGGAATTGGTGTTCTCAGATAGAAAAGAAATCTTTCTTTCATGTGTTTCTCATGGCTGGATTTGTCGGCTTTGATGGACACTTTGAAAAGTAAATTTATGAGCTCGACCAGATGGAAATATAGACTTGACATCACCAACTGCTTATACGCGTCCGTCTTGGTAGTCGCCTGGTTGACAAAGGGTTCACTTGAGGCACTCTCTCTTCAGCCAAGGGACCTGATCGACAGCAGGATACCGGTCCAACGCGACGTTAAGCAAGCGTGTACAGCTGTGTCGTTAAATTTGGCGAGGCAAGTTGAGATACTCACTCACTTGATTGCTACTAGTTTAAATTCATTATTCAGGAACATTTTTTCTGACGGACACAACACTTCAGCCTTCTTCGTGGAACTTGAACGATAAGAAAAGATCAGGATAGCTTATAAATGGTGGTAGTTGTGCTGGTGACTGGTCTCGGTAGGTGCGTAGCACATTGCTGCTGCTGTAGACGGCGAGCTGTACTGATGATGGTACTGGTGCTGCTTGTCTGTAGAATTCTGGTGCTGCTTGTCTGTGGAATTCTGGCGCTGCTGATTCCACGTCGAAAGTTCCATAGTCTTGTTCTCCGATGTCGCCATGCTTGCGTAATGCGTGAAGTAAGCTGCTTGTTCATTGCCATAATCGGTCGTTGATACAGGTCGAGTTGTCTCGTCGTTCCCACGACGATGCGATCCATTCGTGAAGTGCGCAACATGCTCTAGTACTGGTTCAATATCGGACAGCAGGTGTTCCAAATACCGGTCGTTGGGTGCATCATGTACTTGGTTGTGGTCCTGAAACTGCTGTACTTTACATTTGACCTCTGTTTTGATGCGCCGTGGTTCACAGTCGTCTTCATCCATATCTTTCTGTTCACCATTCTCTTCTTCAATATGACCCATCATACTCAGCTCGGCAATCTCGCTGTATCTCGTCGGAGATATGGGTGGTGACTGACCATCGTTACTCCCGTCATCTAGAGTAGTCACTGTCGCCGATGCGCTTGAATTAGAGCCAGTTGAACCAACTGAATCACTGCGGACACGACGTTTCCAGCGACTGAGTTTCTGGCGCAGCTTTTGCGCATGAGTCATTGCTTGACGAGTAGATTTAGAACCGACATAATCGGCAATGGCTGTCCATGGACCTTGTGGAAAACGTTGAATGGCTTCCCAGAATCGACGTTGCTCAGCTGGAGACCATGCATGTTCACCAGGCTTGGGTACTGTAAATTGGGTCGGTACAAGCTTTGCTTGATGCAATTCACTCATGACCTTGGGTGAGATCATTCTTGCCAAAGACTAGAAATGACGGACACTAGTAAACTGACTTGTGTCTTGGACGCTAATCGTGCAATGAGAGGAGAGAAATCGACATTGTACTCAATCGTTTTGATGTTTTACCGCAAAAAGCAGAGCTCTTTATTGTGAATCGATCTAGTTACAATAGTAAAGCCACAGTTTATGTATTTCGTTACTATTATACAAAAACCTGATAGTAATCGATCGACTGGCGTAGCTACGACTCAAGAGACGGAGCGCTCATCTTGGACTTGACGTGTTATATTTTGGTTGCGAAAAAGGTGGTCTCAGAAATTGTATTTTGTTTTGACGTTCGTACAAAATATCGCCCACATGGTTTTGGGAATTAAAGCTCCAATTGTAGCGTTAGCTGAAACACAGTTCACATTGTATGTAAAACACTGTTCAAGACAACCAAACGGGACACTAAATAATACATGAGACTTTTACTATATATGCGAACTCAAATTATTGCTCCATTCAATCCAGAATATGAAGCAGAAGTACAGCTCTTCGCATCTTATCTTTCTATCCTAAATGTCGCGTTTCATGATGTACGAGATTTATTGTCGCATGCTAGATGTCTTCAAGACTTGGACAAACACGCGTCATTGCAATCGAGCTGTCCATGGACAGTCTGTTTCTGGGAATCCAGCCGTCTCTCGATGACACAATTTTAAGCAAATCCTGCATATTCATGATGTCTGATAGACCATGGTGGTCTCCGTTGCTCACCTGATCTTCGGCTTCGTGCTGTTGCGGTTCTACCACGTTGACACATACTTTGTCCAGTATCCTATTCGCGTGGTGATGAATATATATATATCTACGGCTCTCGAGTGTCATATCTGTGTGTTGTGTGTGACTTACAACAGTAAGACGACAACCACCGACACCATCAAAACGGCTCAAGACCGTCGACAGCAATCAAATCTGCAAAAAGCATAAGCTCACGCAAATTATTTGGTGGATGGTCCAAGAGCCGGCTGCAAAGCGACGCATCAGATTCTGGTCCACAGAGACACTCTCTGGATTGTTCGCTCATGAAGACGACGCTAGAGCAATAAAACTTACGCTCGTTGCGTGGTTCAGTCTTCCTCCGCCCGAACAAGACGTTTACATGGCGGCGTCTTGCTTTTTGACATAAGATGGTGAGAGGTTGAAGACCAGAACATGTCTTGCATGTGGTGCGGAAACTTGTACTGATGTTTTGGCGGATAAGAATAGCGTTGGCGTTATGACGATGGTATCACGTGGCGCTTGTGTCTAAGACCGCGTACACTTTGTGTATCGAAAAGCAATACTAGTTTCTGAGTGCTACGCTTTTGTATCAGTGGTGACTTAAGTACTGATTCCTATGACGGCAGGTGTGCCTTCCACGATTTATCGACGACTTGCACGATTGTAAAAACCATGTCTCTACAGATTGTCACGCACAGTGAGCGTTCCAATCATACACTTGACAAGGCTATGACAATGGCGGCTGAGTGCATGTAGCATTGGTCGAGCGCTAATGTAGTCGCTAGGAATTCAGCTAAAAATCTGCTCAGTATTGAACCTAAGTTTTGCGCAGGTTAGGTTAGTATTAAGATTTTGTAGCGTACAGCTTCTATGTTTTTTAGCTGCTGTTCCAATTGGCTTGAAGATTGTGCTCATCATGAAGCGAGAGGAATAACTTCCGAGTATGTCAGCCTTAAAATTAAAAAAAAAAACGTTGGTAGGTAGACTATATCTGTGTGTGTACGAGTGAAATGGCTTTGTTGCACACCCCTCATGGGCGCTTATCATGTACAAAATTACGCAAGATGCCACTGCAGTGTACAGCCATGCAGGACATAAAGCGTCTCCATTATCTCAGGCTCGGAATCAGCTTCAGTAATGTTGAGTTGTTGTGCTCGTGGACGGAGCACTTTTATGTGATGAGACAGAAACTGTTTCGATGTAGCTTACGTCCACCAAACCACCAGGTGGACGTATGTTACTTGAAGATACAGATTTCATCTAGCAGTAACGGTTACTAACAACAAGCGTCTGAGGTATCGCATAAGGACAGCTATGTTTTGTAGTAAGTACAGGCGAGTCCGTTACACAAAGATAACACCACATTAGGTGTCAATGTGAATATATTTAAATCGATAACATTCAGCAATTAAACCAAAAGGGATAATATCGTGGGAATATGACCTCGAGAAACTATTTTCTCCTGAAATATACTCTGCCTATTAGATGATTTAGGCCACTGTTCAGCAAACGCGTTGGCCATTGAAGGATGGACGCGCGCAATGAATGGTGGGTAAGTTTGTCATTATACATACTAAGTATTTAATAGTTAAGGTAAGAACGTATGTAATGGGCGGTTACTTACTTGTGTATTGCACATACACACCTGCCACACCATTGTGGTGTGGCTATACTTTGGGTACAGTGGTAGGTTAATGTGACCGTATTTAAGGTACAAAGGGTCGGATCGTGGCATGCCCATCATACTTACTATCCAAGAAAAGAGTGCTAGAAGGTGGTGGGAAGTGGTCCACGCGACAGTGGGCGTTTTTCGCCCTGGTCCAAATGCCCACTGTCGCGTGGACCACTTCCCACCACTTTCACCAGGGCGACAAACGCCCACTGTCGCGTGGACCATTTCCCACCACCTTCTATCACTCCTTCTCGAAGTCCCTAAAGCCATTAGTGCGGGGCACCTTCCTTAAGGGCACGTGTGTTCAACCAGGGCGACACTTCGCCGTAGTAAGTCATCGGTGACCGCAATGTGGGTACAGAGCGCGACGTTGGAAGGCTATGATAGTGAACAGGAAAGACTATAGATGCATTTTATAATTATTAGTACCAATCTTACATTTACACTCCGACAAGAGGCTAGGTGTAAACAACTTATGCACTAGGTGCAGAGGAAGCCAAGCTCTAGCAGCTTTACGTCTTAAGGCTCTTAACTTCCTAAGGTTAGCCTTACAAGCTTGTGCCTTTTTGGTTGCAACAACTACATCTCAATGAGACCAGTATCAGAGATGCAATTATTCCTTCTTTCAGAAAGGCTCTAGCAACAAATGCTATATAGAGCAGGATTTGAACTGATTTATTTAATGTTTATCTTGTAGCACTAAATATAGAAGCACCTTCTCTATACTTAGTGCTCGTCACTATTTATCTGGCTCTGTAGCCTTGTAATATGTAAACATATATATATTCAAAATACTTACACTGCAATTACACGAGAGAGCGTAGACTGTCAAGCTTATGAGAATCCAGCGCCTTCGTCAGCACATCAGCGATCGTCTTGTCCGAAGGTACGTAATTGGTATGACAATAACACGTTTCGCTTGGTCACATACAAACATCACCCTTATGTCGATGTATTTTCTTCAGCAGATGATGACTCGCCCTTTAGATCAACCATCATTGGCAGGGGGGCCACAATAATCATGCCCAGATCTTGCAGCATTTCGCGGACTCGACGCAGCTTACGCGCCGCGTCCGAGGCAGCGATAAATTCCGCTTTAAACGTGGACAACGAAACGCCACCTTGTTTTTTGCAATTCCGGCTGACAAGCATGCCATTCAACATCATGATTGCCCCAGTCAATGGATCGATCTGACTTGCCTGATGCAAACTCAGCATTGCTGAAGGATGTAAGTCTCAGCGGACCTCGAGCAGGTTCATCAGCCAGCAGCCATACGCATCTTAAGCGGTTGGCTTCCCTGCAGGTAACGTATTCTGCACCTCACTAAATTTCACTCGCGAAAAGCTGGCTAACGTGTACGTCTTGTTTCTTTGTGAACAAAGAAAGCTATGTCGGGACGAGTGCAACAGGCCACCCAAAGCAGGCTGCCTACCAGGGACTAAAAGCGTTTTACAGTTGGCTGTTTTTTACTCGCGTGTACCTGTAGAAGTTCTTTGTTTCCAAGTGACACTTCGTAGCAGTTGTGGTGAAGCGTTTCAAGAATTGGTAGAACAGAGGACCGGTAGGTTAAAGAGAAGGGGACCCACCAAGGAGGAGCGACCGTTAGGTAAGATGAAGAGGGGACGCAAAAAAGGGACAGGGGACGACCGTTGGATGAGGATATTGTACAGTTTAAGCGTGCTCCATTCAGAAGAGTTAACCGCGGTTAGTCCGATGGACCGCGGTTCCTCGAGGTGGACCCCGGTCCTTCAAGGCCGAACTTTTTCTATCATCGGTAAACCTCGTTCTTTTATAAAGATAGACCTTGGCCCTTCGGTCGATGAACGCTCAGTCCCTCGGCCCTTCGGTCCCTGAAGGTCGACCTTGGTCCTTAGGCGATAGACCTTGGTCCTTAGGCGATAGACCTTGGCCCTTCTGTCGATGGACTCTCGGCCCCTCGGTCCTTCGGTCGATGGACACTCGGCCCTTTGATCCCTGAAGGTCGACTTGGTCCTTCATCAATGGACCTCGGTCGTTAGGCGATAGACCTTGGCCCTTGGGTCGATGGACGCTCGGCTCTTCGGTCGATAAACCCTAGCCAAGCAGAATCAAGAATCAGGTCTCGGGGGTAAAGACTGAGTTAAGGAGTTAAAAGATAGGATTATATTAATTACTACTCAATTTGCGATCTACATAGCACGCCTCCGTCGCGCTCTCAAGGAACTTACTAAGTCTACCCACCTGTTCCGGGAAGGGATATATTTTGGCCCCCCCGTCGAAGACAGTTGTGTGGTAAGACCCAAGTGCGAATAGAGCCCCAGGATACATTTGGACTGTGGGTTCGTCCTAGTAGCACCCCCAACTCAACCCGCTATCGGAAGCGGTCTTCCTACCCTAGTGGTCCCCGGGAGCAAGTAAAGGCCAGGCGGTTAACACCCCTGAGATATCAAGGAAAAGGAAGAAAAAGGCCAGGGTTGAGAACCTACCCTGAAGAATTTGGTTATAAGTCCACCCTCGACCTAGTCGACCGAGTGGCCACCTACCCGCCTACCGGGTAAAGTATATCCACTCAAGGTACCCCAAGGCCGACCTCTC